TTATATAGAAAACCCTAGAGACTCCATCAAAAAAATGTTAGAACTAAAAAAACAAACAAAACAACTCCCCAAAAAACTGTTAGAACTAATAAACTCATTCAGTAAAGTCATAGGATACAGAATTGATACACAAAAATCTTCTGCTTTTATATATACCAGATAACCACAATGAGATATCACCTCACACCTGGTAGAATGACCATTATCAAGAAGAAAAGAAATAACGAGTATTGGTGAGGCTGTGGAGAAAGGGACACCCCTGTTGGTGGGAATGTAAATTGGGGCAGCCACTGTGGAAAACAGTATGGACACTCCTCAAAAAATTAAAAATAGGAGCACCCGAATGGTGTAGTTGGTTAAGTGTCCAACTCTTGGTTTCAGCTCAGGTTGTGATCTCAGCAATGAGATCAAACCCTGTGGCAGGCTCCACACTCAGCATGGAGTCTGCTTGAGTTTCTTTCTCCCTCTCCCTCTCTCTCTTTCCCACTGCTCTCTCTCTCTCTCTCTCAAATAAATAAAATCTTCTAAAATAATAAAAATAAAACTACCCTGTAGGGGCACCTGGGTCGCTCAGTCAGTTAAGCATCTGACTCTTGGTTTCAGCTCAGGTCATGATCTCAGGGTCATGAGATCGAGCCCTGCATCAGGCTCTGTGCTCAGTGGAGAGTCTGCTTGAGATTCTCTCTCCCTCTCCCTTTGCCCCTCCCCTACTCACACTCCCTCTCTCTAAAATAATAAACAAATAAATGAACAAACAAACAAATAAATAAGTAAAAATAGAACTACCCTATAATCCAGCAATTCCACTTCTTGGTGTTTATTCAAAGAAAATGAAAATGCGATTTGCAACAACACAGATGAACCTTAAGGTCCATGCTAAGTGTAGTAAATCAGACAGAGAACGACAAACACAGTATGATCTCTTTTATATATGGAGTCTTAAAAAAACAAGAACAAGGGGTGCCTGGGTGGCTCAGTCTCTTAAGTGTCCAAACCTTGGTTTTGGCTCAGGTCATGATCTCAAGGTTGTGGGATCAAGCCCCACATTGGCTCTGTGTTCGGTGAGGAATCTGCTTCAGATTCTCTCTCCCTCTTCCTCTCACCCGCCCCCTCTCTCTCTCAAATAAATAAAAAAAATCTAAACAAACAAACAAACAAAAAAACTAACAAAAAACACCCAAAACCACCACCAACAACAACAAAAACAAGTTCATAGATACGGAGACCAGATTGGTGGTTATCATAGGCAAGGGTTGGGGTGGGGGTGGGAGATATGTGTGTAGAGGGTCAAAAGGCAAAAATAAAAACAAAACATTCAACAACCCCTAGGCATCTAAAGAAAGAGATCATCTCAGAATGGGGTAAGCAGCAGGAATAGATTCACTGATCCGTGCAATGTTGGAGCTGGTGGGTACATGTTGTAAGTATTCTAAATCTCACATTTTATTTTTATTAAAAAAAAAATTTTTTATTAGGTAAACTCTATCCCCAATGTAGGGCTTGAACTCACAAACCTGAGATCAAGAATCTCATGATCCACTGACTCGGCCAGCCAGGCACCCCTAAATCTCACATTTTAAGTAGTGACTAGGCCCACGGGGGAAAGGGCATGCCCCAAGTTAACGGAGATATTTATGGGTGCCCCTGGGGAATGCTGAGTACTTAAGAACAGGTGGATCTCTAATACCAACTTATTTACTTTGTTACAAAATAACCAGTAAATTCAGTAGGACACACACACAAAAATAAAAACCAACATCAGCATTGTTAGTTTGCCATAATGTAGACCAGTCACTTGTTTTGGTAGAGCTCTGAATCAAGCTGAATAGGAAAACATTCCAAACACTCATGATTTTCTATGGTAGTAAACAAGTCAGAGATCGCAGTGACAGTGAGCGTTGGACCATATCTCGTCACCCATATCTAAGGACAGGAGTGGGTGCAATCAAACAATTAGGGTATACAAATTATTTCTTGACTACATTTTTATTTCTTAGCCTTATTAAAAGAAAGAATCCTATCTTAACAAATCCTATTTCTGAGATGATTATATTTCTTCCATTTTGCTTTTTTAGAAGGATATTGTCATGTTGCAGCCATTCTTTTTAGAGGTATCTCTTAATTAGCAATAGAATTCAGGACCTGATATTCTGAGATTTAGGCGATTGTGCCCAGGAAAAGTATGCCAGTAATAACATAATTAATTGGCTGCAAAAAACAAAAAAAAAACAAAAAAAAAAACGTGATCTTCCAAATTGTCTTAGAAATCTGTATTCTGATGGTGCAAATAAACCCAGACATAATGAAGTGGTCTTAGTGAATTGGAAGCTCTGCTTTCTCACTCTGTATTTATTCCATTTTTACAACAGCTTTTGGTTTATTTTAATACATTATTATAGAAGAAAGGGTCCATTAAACAGCTACAGAAAAGTGAGAATATGTTCCTTTTAAAATTTTTTAAATGAAGCATTAAAAAGTAGAATACTTCTAAAATGATATTCAAATGATTTTTAATTACTACAAATGCATTGAGATGTTAATACACTTCATATAAAAGGGAGGGATACTCTACCATCAGTCCTTTTCTGCCACAAATTCCAACCCTAAGAAAATTATTTCTTTTGATCCACTCTGATAGCCTGTAATAAAAGAACAATAAAACATATGGCTCAATTACCACTGCTTCTCATCAGGCATGAATTAATGAATATCTAATTATTATTAATTGTTTTTTCTGGCTTCCCCTCCATAGGACAACAATTATACATTGCTGTATTTTGATAAGCGTTTTGTACTTAACGCTTTGCAGACCAGTCTCTAAAAGAAACAGATTCTTGAAATCATTACACAGAAGAATAATTCTTTAAATTTATCAACATTTGGAAAATACATGATGATCATTTAATCTCCCTAGTTGATGTCAGTTTTTCACAACTACCTTAAGCTTCCCTAAAATTCCGCCCTCTCTTCAATATTCTGTATGCCTTCCTTTGAGAAAGCAGTTGCTATGTGCATATAAAATAGTTTTTCAATTTCTCACAATAATACCAGTTCCTCATATATGATTATTGAATTTTCAATTCCTCAAGAAAAAGCTCTTTAAAAATAAAAGCTATATGGTGCCTGGGTGGCTCAGTCAGTTAAACAACCCACTCTTGATTTTGGCTCAGGTCATGATCTCAGAGTCTTGAGATGGAGCTCTGTGTTGGGATCTGCACTGGCCGTGGAACCTGCTTGGGATTCTCTCTCCCCCCTGCCTCTCCCCCACTACTCTTCACTCTGAAAAAAATAATAATAATAAAATAAAAGCTATAGCTCAAGTAGTTAAAGAATTACATTAACCAGCATGGCATAGAATATACAAAATTATGATCTCTGTAATTGACAACATCGATATCAGCGAATGATATTTATAGACACTCCACAAAAAGGTTCTGTGTAACTGGTAGTTCATTTTATTTTTATTTATAAGCTGTCTGCAACTGTAAAGTGCTATGTAATATGAATAGATGCGACAAGCAAAAGAACATGTCTTTGTAATCCACAACCATTATTTCTCAGAGATTATTCATATACTTGGATTTTGAAATGCATGCAAAGAAAATCCAACAATTTATAATATGTAAACTATACACATCATGTATAATTTTACCCATTACCCATAAATCCATGTTTCTGTTTTTAAAACATTCTATAAAAATTATATCTGTGGCAAACTGAAGGATAACATTAAATTGTTTAGATGTACTATTTAGTTCAATATGCTTAACAAACTCATATTCAAATATGCTTTTAAAGAGAAAACAACACTTGCTTTAGAATCAGAAAATGTAGGGAGCAGAAAGGGACCAATCATTTTGTATGGAAGGGTCAAGTGATTCTCTGAGGTTCATACAACTTTATATGAAACATCTTTCTGCCAAACTTCATAAAAAAATTTCTATCAACATTTCTTTTGAGCATAAAAGAAATATATCTTGCCTTTTTGACAGTTTGTCAGGATGTCAATAATGTCTGTAAATACAAATCCTTAGGGAAACAAAGATGGGAAAAAAAGAAACTTGTCTATAATGGCAACCACGATGCGCAGCCCACTTACAGAGCAGAGATGGACCTAGTTAGGGTTGACATAGCTCACTGCCATCAGAAGCATCATTCCTTTGACATTGGTAACTGGAACCACTTGAATTTTTCATGGCTAAATCTAGCCAGGTACCAGATGGCTTCCTTTATGTATATGACCTTATTGAAGGCAATTAGATTATTTATGCAATAGCAGAATTGTTAGTTGTATACAAGAGTCAATCTTCAGTGTAAAAGCTTTTCTAGATGACATATTCTTAAAATAAAATTTAACTTCCTAATGAATGCTTTTCTCTTGATTTCCACGTTCCAGAATTATTGAATCCACTTTGCTGAAAATTTTAAAGAAAATAACAGTTAGAAATACAACTTCAGTACAAACATAAGCCTGTAATTAAAAAATTTTAAATAACTATTCATCAATGGGGTAGTGGTGGATTAAGCATTTTATTTTTTCTTTCTACTGCATTCATCACTATGGCTTTTGGTCGGACACCATAAGCACAAAGTCACCAATGCCTGGTACTTGTATTTATGAGATGCCTGAGAGTCGAGTCTTGACAACCAATATGTACTATAAAATATGCAATGCATATGGAGTGCACCTAGACAGGAAGACACAAAGATTTCTGAGTCTTTTGGTAATCATATCTCCTAAGCCGTTTCATGGATTTCTAGAAAACTGAAAGTTTGAGAGTGCCACCATGCACACCAAGGCGTTTGATATAATACTGGATCATAATAAGGCTGCTAAATTAGGAAGAAAATGGAATATGGGAACTGGCTGGGGAAAGCAGAAAATAGAAAGCCAAGTATGAATATAATTAGGTTTGTTCTTGTAATTGATACTGCAGCCTGATGGAACGTGGGTTTCTGAGTATTTTTCAGAGCATTTTCCAGATGCAGCCTCCCAGTACCTCATTAATGTCACACATTTATCGTTAAATTCCATATTTTGGATCCCATGTAAGAACTGCACATGCTCCTCTTTTATTCGCCACGCCAGTAAGACATCAGGGAACTTGCCCTCATGTAGTTCTGTTGACCCGCTATCCAATATCATCTCGGTTATTCTACCTATGTATCATTAAATTAAAAATAAAATCCTGATACTGGCTATTAAAAACTAATCAAGTATCATAGGATTTTATTTTGCTAACTTAGTGTACTTTGTGCATAACTTTCAGATCAACTTTTAAAGTTTTTACACTGCTTAAAGAAAATGAGTTAAAAATGCAAGTCCTTAGTGTTTTCTTCTCATATCATTTATGCCAATTAAGAGCTCATAAAAAGGGCGCCTGGGTGGCTCAGTTGGTTAAGCGACTGCTTTCGGCTCAGGTCATGAACCTGGAGTCCCAGGATCGAGTCCCGCATTGGGCTTCCTGCTCAGCAGGGAGTCTGCTTCTCCTTCTGACCCTCTTCCCTCTCATGCTCTATCTCTACCATTCTCTCTCTCAAATAAATAAATAAAATCTTTAAAAAAAATTAAAAAAAGCTCATAAAAAATACTTAGATGCTATACTTAATATAGAATTATATAGAACTAGCTCTAAACTTTCCATTTAAAGATAACATTGAAAAGCATTTAGCATAGTAACCAAATTAGATACAAAAGTATACTTCAGTGCAAATATAAAAGGTCATTCACAGAAATGGACTTCAAACAATTATCTGAGCAAAGAAGATCTTTATTTTTGTTTGGAAAAAATAAAAAAAACTTTCCAAAATAAGTGACCTCTTTACTTAGTTGTATTATGCCTGGCCTGATATCAGGAGACAATCATATATATTAACTGATTTTATACCTTAAAATACTATGATTGTATAACTACCTTCAGCTGAATTCTTAACTAAATGTAATTAATAAAATATTTTTAACTTTATTGAAATCCTTCATTTCAACAATATGAAGTGCTCATTAATATTAGTAAAAGTGATGATTTCTTAAAGAGCTTAACACTTACCCATTACTTTAGAGTAGCAAGGTTCACAGTGTATTGTCTGTCTATAAATCCAAATACTGTCACCTGCTTGTAGGTTTTCCAAAGGCCATTTGCATATTTCACACTAAAGGAAAAAACAATATATGAAGTTTGCACACATTATATGTGAAGTCTAGATTCTTAGTGTAATAGAAAAGCCCTTTCGATTCATTCACTACCATGCTACATAGCAACGCTCAGGTGAAAGAGAACCCACAGGGAAAGCGAGAATATACTTGTCCGGGACCCTAGTGTTGAACTTTTCAAATAAATTCTCACAACATCTCTCTACTCTGAAAATGTGCATTTCAGGGCATATATAGCACTGAAGCTTCTACTTAACTCACAATAGAGTAGATATAAATTTTCAAAAATTGGCTATGCCAAGGATAAGATCACTACTCAATATCGCAAACAAAAACACAAAGCATATTTGTTTGCTTACTAAGGGGGAGTTATGTTGTCCAATTACAGCCTGACTGGACAAAACAGACCTCTGCTATTACATAGGCTTTAGGGAACAGTTTGTTTTGTGTTGTGTTGGTTATGGAGGCAGAAAAGGGTTGACCTATGTTCTTTGGAAACAAGTTCACTGCCGAATGGCTGACTTTCAAGCATAAGGCTGTCACTGATTGGATGGCTTTCAGAGGTGAGTTCATTGAAGCAAATTGTCATTGATCAATTCAATACGTTTAAAAAAGTCCAGGTGGTTCTCTATTATCATAGCTATAAGAGTAATACATCTTTTCTGAGGAGTGTGGGGACATTTTTATTCTCAGTAGTATTTTATAATTAAATCGAAAATGGAAATAAATCATCCAAAATATAATAAATGGAAATTATTGTTATTTACCAAAAGAAATAATTGGGAGAATTATCTTATTTTAAAAAGTTTTCTGCATAATAACTTTAAATAAAGAGCTTAGGCTAACTTTTGTTTTATTGAGTAAATTTTCATAACTAAAAGGAAATTTCATTTTCTTATAATTAATTGTGCAATTTTCACATTTATTTTAAATGGAATTCTATAAAATGTGGCCTAAAATTGGATTTTTTTCTCAAAACGAGGCATCATATATCTGATTGCTATGTGTCACTGTCTGAAGCTAATTGAAGGAGAAGCAATCAGTTGTCAAAGTATTACATGTATTTGACTGCATTAGGTAATTTATATCAACCACAGAATGTCAGCATAGAAAGGATCCTTGGATTTAAGCAAATGATTCTTAAATTGGTTGCCCTTAGAGCTATCTAAGGAGCTTTTAAAAATACCAATACCCAGGAATCATCTTTGAGATTTTTTTTATTTAATCAGGGCCGGTCCCAAGCATTCTATTTTTCTCCTAATCGCTCCCAGATGATTATAATGTACAGCCAGAGTTGAGAACCACTAGTCTAGTCAGCTACCTATTTTACAGAGAAGGAAACTGAAGCCAAGCTAAGTAGGTGCTGGTCCAAAATGAGCCACAGTTAGTGGAAGTTAGAACTCATACTCAGGCCTTCAGATTCCCAATTCAGTGCTCAACCAGTTACACCCACAACTGTCATGTTAACCTATTCAATATTACTGTGAGAAGTAAGAGAAATGGCGTATGACCACAAACTGAAGCATTCTGCTGCATAAGCTTTATTTTTATTATACTACACCCACAGTTAGTTGTAACTAATCATGTTCTCAAAAGCAGACTGACTTTCAACTATTGTTAAGCCTATCAGTCCTGATTTCATGCCTCATGTAAAAAGCTCCTAGCTTTCTTCTCAACAATTTCTTTTTCGTTTTGGATTTCATGATTTTTTTATGCAATGCATGATTCATTAAAATGTTATAAAAACTTTTATAAAGAGAACAAGTATTTATATTTTTACAGATTTAAATCTCTAGGGTAAGAGTAATAAATGTGTCAGTAATCAACCCTAAGCCCAAAGCCAAGATAGTAATTATAAACCTTTGAGGTTCAGGCTGCAGAACTCTGAGATATATTTAAGTAGTATATTATTAATGTGGATTAGATTATTTCTGAAGGCTTTAACTTCATCTCATGTATTTCATCAAATAATTATTTTTATTCTAGTCATCATTATGCAGGTCTATATTTCGTTAACTGCAATAAACATATCCTTACCTTGAAGCAAGTGGAATGGCAGCAAATTTGTAATTCATCTAAAATCATTTTTGTTTCTGTGCCCAAAGGTTTCCGGCAATAAGTACACATATCTCTTTCAATGACAGACCTATAGGGATGTAAGCAATTACAAATAAATTTGTCATCATGCAAGTGACGGATGTATTCCCCATAAAGTCATGTGGAAATGATATGTTAATTTTGTTGATACTTTAGGAAATTGTATGAAAATCAAGGAAAGTTTGGGACTTACTTATTCTATTAATAGAATTGATTCTTCTAGTTACCTCAAAATAATATCAAAGAATTAACATGAAGGAAAGTCTCAAATTATTAATTCATTAGCAATCAAGGGTGCATCTGGGCAGGGCAAAGATGTTCACAGTTTCCTAATTGAACTAGGTCATGAGTACCCCCTGAAGCTAGAAGAGGGTTTTGAATTATTAATTTGCATATATCATAGAAAAATTATACTGTAGATTAATATAAAATTTTAGCTCTCAAAACATTCAATAGGACAAAAATACAATTCCACTCAAAAGTGTTTTGGTAAATTCACAAATGATGGGTCCATGGTACCCCAGACTCTAGGGTCTAGAGTCCCCAAAATGTTCCCCTGTAACTGTGTATAACCTCTTGGTGTCTTTTAAGACTCAGAATTACAGGGCTAGCTTTCATGACAAAACTTATGTTCTCCAACAAGATATAACCCGTCCACAAATTTGATGAGGAAAAGAGAGTTTTGTTTTTTATTTTGGAAAAATAATATTCAATAACAAATGAACCACAGATATGATCAGCAAGTCCAAAAAGTCACACCATCACCTCATGAACGGCCAACAGCTCTGTGATTCTTTTCCTTTGGGAAGGTATTAGAACTGTCTAAAGTAGCACCCTGCAAAGTTTATTAGTTTCAGGGTGTGAGCAGCAGGCCTGAAATTTCCACAGTAGGGTACACAATGGGGTGGTAAAAGAAAAATACCCAATACTGGGGCGCCTGGGTGGCTCAGGCGGTTAAACATCCGACTCTTGGTGTTGGCTCATGCCATGATCTCAGGGCCGTGAGATTGAGCCCCACATCCGGCTCCATTCTCAGCGTGGAGTCTGCCTGACTCCCTCTGTCCCTCCCCTTCACACCTCCTCCTCTCGTGTGTGCTCTTTCTAAAATAAATAAATATTTTTTAAAAAATAGCCAATACTTATATAGCGCTAATATGCTTTACACAGGCAGTGTGCTTTCCATGCATGTGGCTCATATAAACTCATTTATTTTTCACAACATGTCTGAGAAGCAGGTACTACTATTTTTACATCATTTTACAGAAGAAGAAACTGAGGCTCAGAAGAGTAAGAAATTTGCTCAGGTCATGCAGACAATTGAGTGGCAGCGGCAGGATTTGAGTAAGGCAGTGTGGACCCAGAGTTCCTGGGCTACCCTAGGCCTGCCCATGAAAACTATCGGGCTCCCTGTGGGAAGGTGAACTAGTCGTGCCCGGGAGCCTTGATCCTAAGATCAAGCCCAGGACTAGAAGCAGAGAGAAGAGAAAACGGATGGAAGGAGGAGGTAGGAGATGAGATTCAAGCAGATGAAACTTGTCTGGTTTTATACTTTCAGTCATTCTAGCACCCTCGTCCAAGTCCTTATATATATATCAATAAATATTTTCCTCTGTCAATTAACTCTAAAGGTACTTCCTTACATATTCCTGGCAAATACTTTCCTGTGGATAATTCATATATATACATGCATGTGTGAACACACACTTAAATTTCCCATGTAAGACTGTAAGCGCTTCAAGAGTAGAAAACAGGCACTCTCTATCTCGCTTCCATTGTAGAGGCACTGAGGGAAGAGCTGGGAATATATAGAGGGAGATGGTCTCCTTCCTTCCATGAGGGCAGCCAAGTGTATGATTTGATGATCACAGCATATTACGGATACATGGAGAGAATTAGGAGAGCATGGCCAACGAAGCAACTCTTCCCCGGCGTGGAGTCAGGGAGGCCTTGTTGGAAAAAGTGCCACATGAGTTAAAGCTTGAAGACAGAGGGGCTTTCAAGGTGAGCTCGGTGAGGTGCAGAGGGGCAGGAGAGAGGAATTCCATGCAGAGTGAACAGGATGTACCCAAGAGAGTATCTGGAGGGGTTAAACACCAGTCAATATTCAGCAGGAACGGATTTTAAAGGCCCATAAATAATTGTGCAAAGGAATTAGTCTTTATCCTGTTAAGTGGGAAGCCACTTTAAATGGGACTGAAATGCTTAGATAAGAACTCTGGGAATTTAGTTAATTTCACACAATAAACAACAAAAAAAGTTGCTTGACTGGTCTTACAGAGAATTGACTTTTGCTCTGATGACTAAGAAAAATTTTAAGGACCACTTGAGTAACAGAACTGAAATTCTTCATATTAAGAGCAATACTTCTGTGAAGAATGTTTTCCTTCCTTAAGTTAACAGTAACAACGTGAGCCCAGGGACAGCTCTGATGTTGGTGTTGTCCTTATTAAGATCATACTGTTAATCAAAGACCTTTTGCAAAGCATTATGGAAAAAAAGCTCTGTTTTTTATTTGTTAGTTTGTTTTTAGTTATCTAGACAGTATTTGTAGTTTTAATGCTTGCATAGATGACTTTATCCCTTAAGGAAGTGTGACTTAAAGGCAAGACACTCGGAAGATCGCTGGTACTACAAGATCTTATAAAAGTGACAGAAAGAGGATATAATTTTGATGCCTGACCCATTCGTGCTTTTCTTAGCCAACAGAGCATTGGTTTATTTTTTCTGAAAACATTTACTGAGTACCTGTTAGTTGCCCAACACTGCATTACAAGCTGAGGCTGTGCATAAAAATAAGATATGCCCTCACCCTCAATAAGTCATATGTCCCGCCTCTGCTATAAAGAAACACCATCCATAAAACATTGTACATTTGCATTACAGCTTGTTTCCAGTGGTTGGGTTGAAATGTTAATTATTTTCATTTTGTCCACTGGAAATCTGCAGGTTATATTCTCATGAGCATCACCTATGTGCCTCACTGAACATTAAATGGTAAAAAAGGATCACCAACAGCAAAAGCCTGGTGTCCGTTTCCCAGAACTAACTTGATATGCATTATAACCCCTGTCTTGAGAAGTGAGTGTGGGCCCAGAGCACGTCATAGCAGCATATCCACGCAGCTGTTTGTAAGGTGAGCTGGCTCTGGAAAACCACAAGGACGGAGGGGTGAGGGCACAGTCAAGTGATGCAATGGAGCCTAGACACTAAAAATGTGACATTAACAGGGACTCCTGGGAATCAGCAACAGCAGAGGGGCTGGTCTGGGAGGTAGCTGGAAAGTATGCAAAACTCTACTAGAATCAAGTACATCAAGTACATCAAAATCAGAGAGCAGCAACACACAGGAAGCCAAAGAATTAATTCCTGGATGCAGAGGTTGTTGTACGTTGTTCCATTCGTACACATATATGACAATCACCATCAGGACGCCGTCTCTAAGTACAATGGACAACAAGAATCACATATTTCAATGTTATATATATAATAAAAATATATCAGATGTGGATATAAAATATATATTATATGTGAAAGTATATATATGCATACATACATACATACATATACACTAAAAATACTCACCTATCTGAAGTCGAATAAACAGTTTGTATGTATTTTCCAGAGATATTCTGATATCCATCCTTCAGTGATTTACTAGAAACAAACACATATGGACCTGTGAGAATTCGACTATTTCCCTAGTCTTGTTGTACACACCCATATGCAGGTGACAAAGCACACATACCTCCTCATGCAGCCTTATTATTCTTCTCTGTGATGTTGCAAACATCATGGACTAACGTCTTTTTTTTTTTTTTTAATATAGAGAAGAGCTAATACACAAGCCACCTCCAAGGTGACATAAGTTGACATATCTACTGAAGTAAATAGAGAATAGGGCAAGGAGCACAGGAACAAGTATGAACAGGAAAAGCAGTTACCATTTCTCATGAAATTTATACTTCCCCTCCCTCATTCATTTACTAAAAGAAAGCCACATGTAATCTAACAGAGAAAAGGAAATACGCAAAGCATGAGCCAGTGTAAGCACATACAAAAATCACCATTCAGGTAGAGAAGCAGATTCTTGAACTACAGAAAGCTGTAGAAATGTTTATTTTTATTTGAAAACACCCAAGAATAGTCCAGAATGAAAGCAAAAGCAAAAAAAAAAAAAAGGTAATTTTAGGTCCTCTTTTTCTATTTCTCAGATTGCTCCAGTTTGTAAATGTCAGTCTTTCCCGGAGACAAATGAAATCTGCAATGCACTAACCAGCTAGCAGCTCATAATTGCTTCCCAAGACTTATGCTACCTGGGAATATATTAAGGCTGGAAGCAATACATTCCTATTATTTCATACAGTGAGTGGTAATTCACCTGGGATTTTTAAATAGGAAATCTCTCTCTCCCTCCAAACTGCCCACAGGCAGACTGTTGTCAGAATCTATTTGGAATACGTAACCCATAATGCTAAGTAAGAGTGTGTACACATTTGTGCAGGATACATATATTATTACTCCCATTTTATTGATGAGGAAACTGAGATGTGAAGAGATTCAGTTGCTTTTGCCAAGACCACATGGTTAGCAAATGACACAGATTCAATCCCAGATCTGCGCCAGGATCTCTACGCTATACTGCAACATCAGTATACAGTTTAGGGAGAATTAGATTCAGCAGAAAAATCGAACTTGAAGCTGAATTTTACAAGGAAAATGATGTGTAGTTTTGAGAAACCTTTTTTGGAAAATTGTCCACCTTCTGACATATAATGATGTTCCTAGAGTCCTTTCAGGGACCCTCTCCAGAGATGCTCTCCCTTCTTTGAAACGGGCTCTGATTAACACATATGTCACAAAGATCACATTTGTATTCCCCATCAGTATATTACTCCACAGTTAGGCTAATTCTTGTTTTTGTACTCCCTGAAATGGAATGGGTTGTGAATTAATGACCTTGTTTGAGATTTTCCTCAACACCCATCACTCCAAGCAGCAGATCTTTGGGGATATCAATTCTCTGTAATTTGGGCCAGAGCATATCTACTAAAGGTAATACCCCTTATTTCAGAATAAATGCAAACGATAATAGATAGAACCAGAGTAGTATATAGAACTATTTAAGTGGAACTTGAAGTCAGCATAGGAATATTTGAGTAATTTTGTGTAATTTTGTATTGTGTAATTTTATAAAGCTTGTTTTAAAATTCATTTACATACGATTATGTGAGAACTGACAAATGGTTATCCTATTATGTATACACTTGTTATATTCAAGTATTCAGTTCATCCAACGACTACTTATGATTATTTGCCAACTACTTGATATTGGAAACATTATAAAGAATTATATACTTAGAACTTAACATACTCCTAAGTGGCCTTCTATTTGAAAAAATCCAAGCTTACTCCAAAATAATAGCATCTCTTCTTACATACAGATTATTTCAAAATTAGAATAAATGTAGCAAAATATTTTAAATAAATTTCCAGTACCTGTTCTCCACGTACGTCCTCGTATACACAAAGGTATCCTTCGGTCCTGCATTCCTGGTTTCAGCATTGAAGCTGAAATACAAATGATTTACTTAATGTTTAAAATTTAGTTATAAGGATAATGAAAACAATAAGGCTATTATCCAATTCAATGCAAACAAATAGTGCTTACATATTCCTTTTAAATTATAACTTTTGAAATGTAATTGTTAAAGGGGTATTAAACCACTTCTGCAAAATGTCTTCATATCTCCCATTATGTTCTTAGCTTCCACTGTCTTGGCCTACTTCCAGAATGCTGCTATGAAAATTGGTCACTCAGAATATCTGCTGTAGAGCATGAAGATTATTTGGAATATTTGTATAATACATTTTACTGTTGGTTTCCCTGGTGTCTCATTCATATTTCCAAACCATAACTGTCCCCATAAATCTCAAAAAGTTGACCTTAATGAACTAACATGATAACATGTAATTTAATGAAACCTTTAAATCTATCTAAAGAATATCAACACCAAGGTCACAAACAGGCTCGTAAAAAAAAAAAGTAAAATTTTCAGGGGAAAATCACATTTACACTTTCCTATGTAGGTATCAAAACTTCCCAATGACTAAGTTGTTAACTTAATGTCTTTGTGTGCGGTTTACATATAGTCACGGATAAAATTAGAAATTTATGCATTTCAAAGGAGGGGTCAGATTTTATATAAGATGATTTTTAAAAACAGAAGGAGAATAGTTCTGTCATTTGTTTTATAATTGGCTGCAGTACCTGAGATTTCTCCTGGCTTCATACAAATGGGCAGGAGTTCTAGTGAGCTGGTTGTTTAAAGCATCCGTGGATCCATCGACTTGGCCATCTAGCCTGGGAAAGCAAACACAAATATTTGGCATTTCTAAGGCCACTTAGAAGTTTTTTGTTTTATTAAAATTCTGTTCAGTTAACATTCTTTACATACATGAACCTCTTTATGTTTGTCTGGTTTCTGTGCAGATACACAAATAGAATACATATACTGTTTCACTCTCCACAGCGACCACTCTCTTACCTTTAAGAATAATCTACAGGCGTGTGTCATATTATCTACAGCAGTGCCACTGTAGAAAGCTTCTCATGTATAATATATAATAATAATATATAATGTATAATATATCTTGAGAATTTATCAATTTGATGAAAATTATCCAGTGGTTGTTTTTGGAAATTATAGTTTCCATCTTATTTTTAATGGAAAGGAATATTTTGAAGATTACAGAATCCTGACCTAGATTTCTGCTAACTCAAAAAAATATCACTACGCTTAACAAAGTGTAGGCATATTTTCTTTTTCCTCTGGAACAAAGGAAAATTTTAATGCAGGAATTGTAAAAATTTTAGCCACATTTCTCCCTCCAGGTTAGTAAACTCTGATATAGAAGAGATGTGAAAACCAAGAGGACAGTTTAGATCTTAATCAAGACTTATCATTTTTAAACATGCTGTTCCTTCCATTCCCTGATAGCTCTTAAAGAAGAGGAAAACATTTGTTCACATATTATCTCTGGGATACAGAAAATTATCTTCTAGTTTTAAGACAGATGTTTCACAAAACATACAGCTACATTAAAATGATACTAAGTAATGAGAAAGTAGAATTAACATCAGATTTTCTAACGTGATTATTAGAATATGTCATTCCAGGAATTATAAACCTAGCTAGCAGTTATTTGGAAATATTCAAATCATATCATATACAATACAAAAACCCAATTTTAACAGATAAACAGCTTCAAAGAACAAAGGTTGTCAGTGAGTCTGAAATGTGCTTGCACCATCCTCAGCAGTATAAAATCAAGTTATCACCAGTTAGCAAAATCGGCAAATAGAAAAGGGAAATAATTTGCAAACAGTACTGTTATGGACTGAATTGTCTCCCCCCAAAATTCTTATGTTGAAACCCTAACCCTCAATGTGATTTGCAGACAGAGCCTATAAGAAGGTGAAAAAGGTTAAGTGAGGTCATGGGTGGGGCCATAGGACTTGTGTCCTTTTAAGAAGAGGAAGTGACACGAGAGATCTGCATGTGTTCGTGCAAATACAAAAGAGAGGCCATGCAAGGCCACAGTGAGAACATGGCCATCTGCAAGCCAAGGAGAAAGGCCCCAGGAGAAGCTAAACCTGCCAGCACCTTGATCTTGGACTGGCAGCCTCCAGAGTTGTGAGAAAATAAATTTCTGTTGTTTAAGCCACTCGGTCTGTGGTATTTTGCTATGGCAGCCCAGATGGAGTGATAATACGAGCAGCATTTCCTCATTGTGTTTATAATGAGGTTAATGACTATGCCTTCATGAAGATTTAACTTTTATAATTGTGAATAAAAACCAAATATTAGTAAACAAATTTGAAATGTGGAACAATAAACTCTTTGATGGATTTTACTCCACCAGTAGGTTTGGAAGATGACAGATTAAAAAAATACAGATCTTTTAGGGCTCCTGGGTGGCTCAGTTGATTAAGCAACTGCTTTCGGCTCAGGTCATGATCCTGGCGTCCCTGGATCGAGTCCCGCATCGGGCTCCCTGCTCAGCAGGGAGTCTGCTTTACCCTCTGACCCTCCCCTCTCTCATGTGCTCTCTCTCATTCTCTCTCTCTCTCAAATAAATAAATAAAATCTTTAAAAAAATAAATTGCTAAAAAAATATATATAGATCTTTTAGACCTTTTATTTTGGAGTAATTTTAAATATATGGAAAAATTGCAAAGACAGTGTGGACAAGCCGTGTCTACCCTTCACCCAGCCTCTCCTAATACTAATACCATATATAACCATGGTACATTTGTCAAAACTAAAGAATCAACGTTGGTACAATACTGTTAACTAAACTACAGACTTCATTTGTATTTCATCTGTTTTTCCACTGATGTCCTTTCTCAGTTCCAGAATCAGAATCAGGATATATCTTCCACAAAATCATCATGTCTCTTTAGTTTCCTAGGGTCTGTGATCATTGCCAAGTCTTTCTTTGCTCTTCATGAGATGGTGATAGATGTTATACAGGAAATTCTATCTTGATGCCAATAAGTGGTGATCTATTTTTTATTATTATTTAGAACCATAGAAATAGTTAGAAAATACTTTGGCAGTGAAATCACCTGTAGTGCTTTTTATAATGCTACAGGGTCCCACATCCAGATATTCTGGTTTAATTAGTTTGAATTACAGCTTGGGCACTGGGCTTCTTTTAAGCCTCTCCAGTGAGTCTCACATGCAATTTAAGGTTGAGAACCACCACCTTAGAGGTTGGGCAGTCCAACATCTTACCCAAAAGAGCACTGGTTCTTAAAGTATGATCCCTGGGTCAGCAGGTGTTTGTGATATACAGTAAAGTTTGGTAACTGGTGCAGTCAAGGAACTCTGCCCAAGTATTCCTCTCAAATGCCTTAAATAATCCTCATAAAGGAGAACTCGTAACTCACAATGTTTGTTGTTTAAGTTTTATGGTTAAGAAGTTATTCTTCATTGAAACAATTGTTAAATTATAACTTCCAATTAATGGTCATAGTTTTGTTTCTTAATTAAATAACAACTCTACAAAATAAAAACTCAAACACTGTATATAGGACCTTACAGAATTCCTAATGGAATTACTCTTGAGAAAATGTTTCCTGCAGTAGAAATTCACCTTGAAAATTTACCTATCTGCAACCCTCATACACTGCCAAAGTATAAAATGGTACAACTGATCTGAAAAACAGTGTGGTGGTTCCTTAGATGGTTAAACATAGAGTTACTACACAATCCAGAAATTCTACTCCTAGGTATATACCCAAGAGAAATGAAAACATATCCCAAATAAAAAGTTATAGATACAGCATTGTTCACAACAGTTAAATACAATCCAAAAGTCAAAAACAATTCAAACGCCCATCACTTAATGAATGAACAAAATGCTGTTTAGCCATACAATGGAAAAAATACTATTTGGGAATAAAAAGAAATAAAATACTGATACATGCTATAATATGGATGAATCTTGAAAACATTACACAAAGTGAAAGAAGCCAGTCATAAAGGACCACATATTGTATGATTCCATTTATATGAAATGTTCAATGTAGGCAATTCATAGACAGAAAGTAGATTAGCAGTTGCCTAGAACGAGGGGTTGGGGAGAAAATGTGTGACTGCTAATGGTATGGGGTTTCTTTTTGAGGTGATAAATATGTTCTAAAATGGATTGTGGTGATGGTTGCACAACTGCATGAATATACTGATTAGGAACATATATTTACTTGGATATCCTATTACTATACAAAGTGAATGCGTTCATAAAGTGAATCAAGTTTCAGTTTAGCAGATTGGCCCAGGACTCTTACTTGGATTTCCATCATCTTACTAACTTAGCCTTAGCAGCCTGACATTAAACACCATAAAACAATTTCAACTGATAAATATCTATACCCCTGCAAACTTTATAAATCTCTTTTGCAAAAAGAATAAAATCTTATTAAGAGCCCACTATTTTGTATCATATGTGTTAGGGTTTACTTCTATAAAATGTCAAATTCTTAAGCTCTTATAAAAATTTCAAATTTTAGGGTGCCTGGGTGGCTCAGTCGGTTAAGCGACTGCCTTAGGCTCAGGTCATGATCCTGGAGTCCCGGGATCGAGTCCCGCATCGGGCTCCCTGCTCAGCGAGGAGCCTGCTTCTCCCTCTAACCCTCCCCCCTCTCATGTACTCTCTCTCTCTCTCATTCTCACTCTCTCAAAATAAATAAATAAATCTTTTAAAAAAAAAGGAAAATTTTAAAATTTCAAATTTTAAGTATTTTTTTAAAAAATACTCTACTGTTGGGGCACCTGGGTGGCTCAGTCGTTAAGCGTCTGCCTTCTGCTTGGGTTGTGATCCCGGGGTCCTGGGATCGAGCCCCACATCGGGCTCCCTGCTCCGTGGGAGGCCTGCTTCTCCCTCTCCCACTTCCCCTGCTTGTGTCCTCTCTCTCGCTGTGTCTCTCTCTGTCAATTAAATAAATAAAATCTTAAAAAAAAAGTACTCTACTGTAAAAAAATAAGAGAGGATTTGCTGCCAGAACACATGGGTTCATCCCACCTCTCTAACTTACTAACCTTCTGCACTTGGTCAAGTCTCTTACTCTCTGTGAATTTTCTCTATTTTCTTTCTGTTCCAAATTTACCCATTCACCCATTTTGACAGTCCTTTTTGCAGCCAGAATCCATGGGCACAAAAGTTGGGCCCAGAGATTTCTTCTTTCCACTCTTTTCCAGGTGAAAATTTTTATTATGGTTGCTGTGTCAGTGCCAGGGTGGGTGACATTTTCCATTTAATTTTTAGATAGCAGAACCATGAGAAATTGTACATCTACAGGATTGTGATAGAACTGAAGGAGAATAAACACCACCTGAAAACAGAACTCAGAGATCAACAAACGGTCTTGCAGTAGTGGTAGTTAAGACCTCGAGATGTAGTCACCGAATGTGCTGATTCCCATCTCCCTGGGGAGAGAGTAGGTGTGTTTGCGCATGTTTCTGTCATCATTGGATTATGTCAGGCAGGAGAAACAGATGGAATTGCAGGAAGGGGAAGGAGACTGTGTGAACTTTATTGTCAACCATGGTGTTTTCCATCTACACACCATCTTCAATGCAGATGGCCACACCCACACTGCCTTGCTTTAGAAAGCCAGATAGACCATGGAAAGCTAGAGTAAACTCCAGGTATGAGGAGGCAGAAACTGGGAGGTAGCAAAGAATCTTGGTTATCAAAGAGATATAGAGTAGAGAATAAGGAGATCAACAGGCAGAAGGAAGAGTGGGAGGAAAATGGGGAGGAGCCAAAATTCAGGGAGTAGCTGAGTTATAGTAATGACAAAGAACTAGGGTTAATGTTCACGGACTCCTGATGGAATGTTCTCTGGCCAAGAGGGAGCAATCTTCCAGTTCAGGCCTCTATGAGGCCTGGCCAGGCTACCATTCCTGCTCTTGAATTTCTATAAAATTTCATTTCTTCATTAATCCTTCCAATAAAACCCATTTCATGAAAAAGCCACACTGAAATTGGAACATCTGTCAAATCATATTAAATGAGAAGTTCCTTAATCATACATGATCGTTGACTTGAAAATTTTTTTACCTTGATCACTTCCAAATAATACTTGAATTATCTGGAAGACTGGTTAACTGTAAGCCCGGTCCTATTCCCAAAGTAGTGGGTTTTTCTAAGATAAACAGATCCTATTGAAAATTTACCCTCCCTCATTTTATCAAACGCTTTTTGTGATTATAAGAAGAGAAGGCAGAAGATGATTTAAGGAATTAAGGGAACAGAAAGAAACTACCCATTAGATGCAAATCTTTTATAGACATTATGGGGAAGAAGTGACCCAGATCTCTTCCTGCTTTTCCACTCTCCACACACAATGTTGACAATATCATTTCTTTGCATAAAAAAATTAATAGAAAAGACAACTGCACCTTACGAAGGTAAAAAAAGGAACCTATTGGTTTTGGGTCTCCCATATGTGGGGACGGGGGGTTGCAAAACATGGAAAAGAATTATAATTCTTTCTTAAACAGTCTGTAACAACAATGAAGTATAGCTTCTATAAACTATACTTTCCTTGTAAACAAAAAAACAAAGTACAACCGTTTTAATGCTGTTATACTCTGTGGTGTAAAGAAATTTCAAAACTAGGTCCTGTCTTATAGCTGTGATGAATTTATGCATTCTTTTAGAACTATGTATCCAAGGAAGAAAGTCCCAGAGTGCTTTCTGCACCACTGAAGAACTACCAAGCAACAATAAGTAAAAATAAATCTTCACAGCCCAAGTGCAGAGCTTTGAATTTCCATGATGCCTTTTACACGAAGCAACTGAATAGAAGCCTCTTTGTCTGAAATTCCAACAGAATTTGAATTTTGTTCACTTTTTTCCATATCAACTATTAAGTACTCTGTATATTGATTTTCATATTTCAGTAGTATTTATATTTATACCATAATACAATTCAACTCCTCAACAAATCTTCTAAGGTTATATAATTTATGTAGGCTTATATGGGATTGATAACAAAAAAGTAAATTATAGTAAGTCTTACCTTCCATTTTTGTTTTTAGGCACATTAGAATTTACTTCAATTACATTTTTCAGGTCTTGGTCTCTATAGGAGAAAAATATATATAATTAATATGCATAATATAAATATGTATAAATATAATATATATATTATACAGGACATTGGAAATCTGACACTGAGCTAATTGACCTATACAACTCAAATATAAGAGCGTGGATTATGTGTGAGAGAGAAAGAACTAATGTTTTAGAAGTTTTAAGAAATCCGAAAATAAACAACCGATTTATAGTCCCATTCAGTTAACATTTAATGATTACTAACTTTGTGTCACAAAGTACTAACTATGTATTTTCACATGGATGATTTCATTCAGATCTCACAAAATCCTGTAGGACAGCATCTAGGGCTCAGGAAGGCTAAGTGAATTTTCCAAGGTCAATTAACTAATTTGTAAAAGAGTCAAGATTTGAGGCCAAGCCACCTGCCCATCTGAAATCAATTCTTGGATATTTAATTAGAGACTTCATTCCAGCTTTGTAGATCACAGAAACACGAAACCCAAAATTTGAATAAACAATTCATAATGTGGAGGATAAATGGGACAATTAGATTCTTGAATCGAGCTGCAGTAATGATTAGATACACTTTCATGATACACAATATCCCCTGGTACGTTATTCATACATTAGTTATTTATATATTTGGTTATAACACTGGTGGTTCTTGATTTTTTTTTTCCCATGAGTTTAGAAAAGGCTTTGTCATGAACCCGATTGATTGGGAGGCTTGTTTAGGGGTCAAAACAATGAAGTCATCTCTTTCCCTATTTCCTTGTTAATTAACCTTCCTAATCTTCCTTTTGTAAACTAGACTAATCATATTTAATTTCATAAGGTTGCGGTGAGGATGAATGAGCTAATGTAAATAAAATTCATGGCACAATGCTCCCAGTCATGTGTGAACTGAATAAGCATAAGTAAATGATAATTACTAGAAGTTCAGTGACACAGCAGTAGGCACTATTGATTCCAATATTTTGATGGACTACCTTTTCATTTTTATTTCTGCTCTAATTTTTTTCACCTTGGGAATTAGCTCTAGTTTTCATAAATCTCCCTTCTCGTGATTGTGAATAGTAGATTTAAATAAGGTTATTATACATGGAATCAGAGTATGGACTCTTACTCATGAAATTAATATTGGTAAGGATGAAAATACTATAAAAAAGTTCTTGTAGTACAAGACTTAATACTCTTTTTATATAACATCCAAACCATCAATAATTGGTAAATCTGCCAATTAGGCAGCATTCCATAGCCACACTTAAACTTCACATTTAAAAAACTAGCTGCATAATTTTGAAAATGTAGAAATTAGATTATTTTTTAATGTGAGTTATAGTCAGGAAAATATGCTAATTAATACATGTCAAAAGCACAAGATTTCAGAAGTAGCTCAGAAGTGTTGCAATCATTTGATTCTGTAGTCTGAATGATGTAAAATTCAGAACTGACTCCCTCAATGACATAACTGCTCGAACTATGTAAGGGAACCTCCCAAATCATATCGTTCAAATTTAGAAATGGAGACAGAAGGCTTTTGCTGAACCCCTAATGGTCCTTTGCTAATTATTAGAGCTACCTTCTTGGCCGCAGGGGCCACTGTACTATTTTAATAACCTGGCATTAAGTGATCCTCCTTGTATCATTTTAAAATAATACTTTACTAAATACTTGGGGATAATGAAATAAAATGAAGAGATGTATCATGATGTTACATAATCCAGCTTCCTAGGATGGTTGGCAGTAGTAAATAGTGAGAGACTACCAGAACTGTGAATCTTGAGGGAATTAAAATTTTGTCCCAGCAAATGATTCTCCTTCCACTGTTAACCTAGGATGAACTGAGTGCCATTATTTAAGGACACTGGTGGTTTTTACTACAACTTGAGAGTAGAGTCTCATTACCATGGCCTTATATGACCTTGTACATAGAAGCTGCTCCAAACATATTTGGGAAATTAAGTTTAAATTCTTTTTCTACATCTCCAGGGGAAATCTTTAACTACCTTACCTAGCTCTGGGAAAAGATATTAAAGGGGCCCCCAAGGGGAAGAAATTAGACTGTGAACCCTTAAGGCAGTCAGCTCTACCCACATCTAGGTACACAGTGTGCACCACGACCTTGTAGAAAAAGATCAGTAAAGGCAGTGATGGATATTTCATCTCCCTTGGTGTCAGTCACCCAGAGCCTGCCTTACTTCACCCCTGAATTACATATATTTCTTTTTTTATACAGCTCTCAACTCTGGCTTTGTTTCCTTGTTCTGGGATGTTGTTACGGGTCAAATTGTGTTCCCCCACCAAATTCATATGCTGAAGTCCTAATGCTGGTATGGTCAGAATGAGACCTTATTTAGAGATAGGGTCTTGACACAGGTCATCAAGTTCAAATGTGGTCATTGGGGTGGGCCCTACTCCAGTATGACTAGTATCTTTACAAGAAGAGGAAATTTGGACGAAGACACACACAGATGTAAGACAATGTGAAGATACAGGGTGAAGGCAACCCTTTACAAGCCAAGGAGAGAAACCTTGGAATAGATTCTTCTTTCTCGATCTTCAGAAGGACCCACCCTTATAGACGTCTTATTCTTGGACTTCTAGCCTCTAGCACTGTGAGAAAATAAATTTCTATTTTAAGCCATTCAGTCTGCGGTACGTGTTATGACAGCCCTAGAAAACTAACAGAGATCTGCTTCTGCCCTCACAACACAATTACACTTAGTTTGGGAGTCTGATCCTGGACTGCCTCACTTCTGCTGGTACCTTCCATTCGATCCTGGCTGCTGCAGATACTGGATCTTTGCATATCCTCCCACCCTTGCCTCGGGACCCAAGCCTTTTTGGATCCCAGCTATCATGAGGGAGAACAGGAATGAGTTTTGGCCTGAGGAAGGAGAAGCCCGAATCTAACAAATCCAGTAATTACAAGTAGGTAACTCAAAATTGGAACCTATACATGCCTTCAAAGGAACTTACCCCCAACATGATAGAACTATGAATCATTGGCTAAGCCGTATTATTAGTGGTTTTTTAGAATTTTTGGTGTTTTTATTGAACAGCATCACATACCAAGTTTGATAGAGTGGATTATAAGATTTTATTCTGAATAATCTATACTAATATTTAAAGCAAAATGAAAAGTTCCAGATTATGAAGAGCACAAAATGTGTATTTGCTTTGGTTGTTCACCCTGATTGATGTCATCAGCTAGATCTGAAGATCCAATAAAAGAAGTTCAGATTGCCCATAAACTTCCCAAGTTGAAGGATATAAAAATAAATTTTCACTCTTTATTAAGAACACATCTATTACATCATGTCTTCTGCACTGTGGCGGAAAATGAAACACTGTGAGCCAAAGTGTGACATGTAGATTTTTCTAGAAGCCCAGCTCCATGCAGCAGGTTGGAGCAAAGGCTTGATTCCCAACCCTTTCCATGGCAGTTGCAGTGGAAGGAAGACCTGTGTATATTTATGAGTAGTTGGAATCAGCTCCAAGGAAAGTTCTCCATGGACACAGTGAGAAATGCTAAAAAGAAATTTTAACCTTTGCAACTAAAAATGCTTTTTTATATGTAGATTTCAAAATTTGGGGAAGGGGGAATGAGTCATCTGTTATGTAGAGTCATAGCACAACTTTTGAATATAAGCCATTTATCCAATAAGCCAATAAATGTAATTTAAGCCAATAAATGTAATTTATTTCCCACTGTCCCATTAAGGAATATAACACTCCCTTACAGAGCAGATTAAGAAAAAAAATAGGTATTACTATGTCTGCTATCATATAACTTTTCTCAAGATAAGCGCTGCATGAGAGAAAGTTAACAGCTCACTCACCATTGCTCTTCCTCTCTCATGAGGGTGTGGGTGGTATTTATTAAAAGCTGCAATATGTTTCTCTCTCTACAGCTTACTTAAATTGCTTTTGTAGAGTATCAAACACATTTGCAAAATTAAGAGCCTCCACATAAAAAGTTTACTATGGCACTTCTTTTGTGCCAAGAACTAAATCTTAGGCATTAAGCTTTAGTTCAAAAGGAATATTTGGCTCTCTGAAAGTACAGAATACAGTGAGATAACTGGTATAATTTTTCAGCTCTGCTGACATGGCAAAATGGGCCCAGATTTGTATATCTTTATGGTTCTTTTCAATGAGAGAGTCTTAAATATTTTCTATTAAATAAATTAACAGGTCCATAGAGAAATTGGACAATGTAGGTATTTTAAATATAAGATGTAACCAAGGATTTTAGTGGCTCTAATTCACCATGGTTGATTGAGATTCTGTCACGAGCAAGAGATAGTCATTGGCTTAAGCAAGCAGACCAGTCGTAAGATACCAGATTTCTTCAATCTGGTTTCACTCCTGGGGGCTCAGAATGTTAGAGCTGGAAAGCAGTAAGCTTTACTAGCTGGATGATCAAAGGTCCTTGATTAGTTTGAGATTTTAGCCTTTGATTCACAAAGTATTTGTTAAGCACCTAATATGGGCCAGGCATTATGTTCTGCATTGTAAATAAAGAAGTGAATAAGACAGACCCAATCCTTACCCTCAAAAATCTTACAGGTGGGGAGAGATGATTAAATAATAATTCCCCCTATGAGACAAATGCTATGGGACAGGGTCAGAGAGCTTGAGAATGTCTAGAAGAAGCACCTGATGCAGATGTGGTGTGTCCAGGGGACCTCCCAGAGCTAAGTAAGAGACAGCTATTTTGAGACCTAAGGGATAAGTAGAAGTTATCAATGCAGTACAGATGAAAGATGGGTGGGTTTGCTTGTGGGGGGAGCATCATGGGAGGTGGGAGGAGAAGCCTGTGGAGGCAGGATAAGGTAGGCTTTGGAAACCACGTTAAGGAGTATGGTCATTGTCCAATGGCAATGGAAAGCCACAGGAAGATTTGATCAGAATGATGTGATCAGATTTGTGTTTTAGGAAGGTCACTCTATACTGTGGCCGATGGACTGAAGAACAGGAGGCAAGACTGCCAGCAGAGGGACCAATCAGAAGACAGAATTATAGGAGCGCCTGGGTGGCTCAGTCGTTAAGCATCTGCCTTCGGCTCAGGTCATGATCCCAGGGTCCTGGGATCGAGCCCTGCATCGGGCTCCCTGCTCCGCGGGAAGCCTGCTTCTCCCTCTCCCACTCCCCCTGCTTGTGTTCCCTCTCTCACTGTGTCTCTCTCTGTCAAATAAATAAATAAAATCTTAAAAAAAAAAAGAAGACAATTATAATCCAGTTACAGTAGTATAGTGGAAGATGAAATGTCTTAGTTCCTGAGAAAGAAGCCTCCAAAATGACCTACTGATTATGTGGGGAATGAAGCACTGGAAAGAGTCAAGGTTACCCCTCCCCCCCAGCTTTCTTTCTTGAGCAGAAATATGAGCAATCTGCATCAGGAAGATAGGAAGAACCTTGTCTTGTTGGAATACTAGAACTTGGAGGTGTATGTCTAAGCCAATGCAAGCCCTTAAAATTATGGAATTATAATAATGTAAATAGTTCAGAATATTTTTTCTACTTCAGATGAAGGATACCTTTTCTAACGCTACAGGCCTAAGTGGCACTAGCTGTTTTTCAATCTTCAATTGGGAACAGCAGTTTATGGGCTACAGATAATTGAACATCTTCCTTTTATGTTGGTTCGTGAAAATGTGAAACTGTCACTGCTAAAAGCCATGCAGTTTCTCCCTGAATAAATGAAAATTCTGTGCACATCTGCATTTGTTCAGGTTGTTGTGTTCCTAGAAGGAGCTCGGGGACACCTGCTTACATTCTGATCGATGACCAAAGTTTATTCTGCCTCTAACTGTGAATTAAATATACAGCTGCTGGAAATGTCAGCAAAGTCACATAAAAAAGATTCTGATTCACTGCTGTTCTACTATTAAATAATCGGTGTTCCTGTCACACTGAATTGAATGTAAAACAGCCTGTGGCTGTTATTCCTCTGGGAAATCCTTTAAAATGCCCCCTCTTTATCCCCCATTAAAATCAAGTGAGCAGGGCAGATACATTATATTACAGGTGGCTGAACCAATTGAATGAAGTCACTCTTTTCAAATAAGCAGCTTTCCTGTTTGTCTGTTCTGCTCTAATTCTTGAACAACCTGGCTGATTATCGTTAAATCTGGTGTCACCCCTAAAGAACAATCAGACACTGCCTAGGTTTAGATTCATGGATCAAGCTGCTGTCTGAAAGCAACATGATGGCCAATGTTTTCAAATTTCCTTTTTTTAGGAATCTCATCCATATAAGGAAAATGTCTTCTTTCTATAGAAATTGTTTTAGAAGTTGCCAAAACCCAAACTACCTTTTTATAAAATTAGCATCTTCTAATAAACAAAAGGCAGAAAAGTTGCCATCCTCTGTCAACAAAGCACATTTGCCAGAGAGAAGGAGGGAAGTGTGAGTGTGCACGCTCACGTGCGTGTGTGTATGTGTGAGAGACACAGAGACAGAGACAGAGACACGCACATTTTGTGGAATCAGCCACGGAGGGAAGAGTTGGCTACAGTAACGACTGTCAGTGATTCCGCATGTGGTTCGTAAACCTAACCACTTCCTACGTGGCGGGGAAACTCCTCATACCGCTACTAATGAAAAGAAAAATCTGTCCCCACCAAAACCACTGTGAAGAAATGGTTTTACTTAAAGATATTTTCATACAATTCTCAGTGGCAGGGTCGACAGCAAAAGTCTGTTGTCATTTCAGCTATTAGGAAACCTCTAGGAAACAACTACTTTTCTCCCCTCCCTGTCACTTTAGTGATAATTTTCTAGAATAAATGTTTCTAATTGTAGTCCTTTGTCTGCAGGGTGGGAGGGAGCCTTGGAAGGGAAGAGACTGTGGGGAGTATGAAGGGTGGGAAGAAGAGGGGAGTCTGAACTGTTTTAGTCACAGATTTTTTGTTTTTCTTCAATTTAGTGACATCAGAAGGGCTTCAGTTTAGATCCGGGATGGGTTTTCTGTCTTAATAAGGTCATTGAATGTCTTTGAGCTATAGTTTCCTCTTCTATAAGACAGGGTGTGTGAATATATTTCGCATGGGGTAGTTGTAAGGATTAAATGTAAAATGTAAAATTCCTAACTAGAATCTTGAGACCACATCAAGATAGTTAGGCAAAGTCATTTACCGCTCAGGGTTTCTGAGAGCTGAAGATTTCACTTTGACAAGGTCGTCCAAGCCTTCACTGTTCGAAAGAGGAAAAAAAAAAAAGTTCAGATTAGGGATAGGTTTTTGGTTGGGCTAGGTCAATAAAGCAACATTATAAATCCACTCCACCCAGGGGCGACAGGCAGATGAAAACATGAAAATGACTGCTTTTATCTGATTACCTCTGACTGCTTCTGGTCACTGCAGGATTCACTTTGATGAGGTTATCCAGATCCTGGTTTCTTTAAATAGAAAAATAAAAGGAGAGCAGGTTAATGATAAAGTTCTTTTGGCAGGTGGATTCAGGTTACAAATCTGCTTGAAATAATAATAAGACAAAACATTCTCCCTGACCAAAGCACAAAAATGAATATAGTTCTATTACCTCTGGTTGTTGGTGAGAGTTTCAGGATTCACTCTGATGAGCTTATCAAGATCTTGATTTCTTTAAGTGAAAAAAAAAATTAAAGCAGCTTGTGTTAGAGATAATGCAGGTTCAAGTTGGTTGGAATTAGAAGAAAGGATTAGCTATCTTATCACTTAGTATGATACATACTGGTTTGGCACAAAACAGCCTTGAAATAAGTTTCCTAGCTTTAGGGGGGACAAATTTTGCTGGATTAGAAGAGAAGCTGCTCTGACTTAACATACTTCAAAGCCAGAGCACATCCACGGGGGCACACTGGCAGGCATTCACAGCAAACATCTGGTGATTAACAACTTTGCACTCTGCAGTGTTTTAACATTATGGAGATACACTCTGATTTTCATGTCCTTTTCCTTGTTATTTTTAAGATCATATTCACCAACTGAAGATATTTTTTTTTAATAAGCTCTAAAATTGGAATTATACTTAGCCTAAGGCTTGGCATGGAGAATTCCAGCAATCCATTAAATTGGTGACTTTTCTTTGCTTTACAATAAATAAAAAACTGAATTAAACGCAGCTGTTCATGGTCAAATGACTTACAGACTCTGAAGACTGTCCGCTTCCTATTGGAAGCCCCACCAGTTTCTTTTCTCAGTCACAAAAGTATTTCTTCCCACATAGTTTGCTGCCATTCACTGCCTCAGTATAATACCTTGTTTTAAGGGCTAGCGAGTGATGATTCTTCAAAGTGTTCCTTTAAACCCCTTTTTAATATTTATTCAGAGAAATAAGATAGTCTGTCATGGCAAGAAATTGCAAGACTGAGAACACCTGCTTTTCAGTACCATCTTGGACAACAAACTGCCTGTCTTCCCTACACCCCAACAGCAGTTCTTTTTCCTTATAGAAAAGTAAGAGACATTTTACCTGTCAAAAAGATTGAAACAAGATTAAGGACTGAAGGGGAGCCATTTAGAGCTTCATCACCAAAAAGTTCTAAGAAAAGGTCTGCATTTCCCTCCCCCAGCCCTAATATTTCCATAGAATGTGCTTCCCAGCTTCTGGCTTCACTCAGTTCCTTCTTTCCATCATCATTCTCAGATTTTCATGGTAGACAGAAAGCCGCTAATTGAATTTTCACTGTTTTGAATTATCTCCAATAATAGTATTTGCAATTAAAGATAATCCATTGATGTCTCCAATACTATTAAAGGAATGATTAACATATGACAGCTATCCAAAATATAATTTCCTTGCATGAACTGATTGCAAATCTGTTATAAAGCTCAACTGTGCCTAAAAGACAATAATCTCTAAAGTGAGGTTATTATACACCTTAAACTAATGTAACACTGTATGTTAACCTCACTGGAATTAAAATTAAATTAAATTAAATTAAATTAAAGTGAGGTTAATTTTACATATTAGAAGAAAAATACAAAGAATAAAACTTTGTAGAGGAGATAAACTCAAAGGCCACAGTCTTTTAACGTATAAATTAATCACAATATTTCTTAGTGTAACTACATATAATATTTGTGTACCAGCACGATTAGAGTAAGCTGCACACACAACCATGAGAACTTGCATTTTTCACTGTTCTGATGAGCACAGAAAATCGGATTTATCCAACAGCCTAGAACAGTGATGTTCAAATTACTGTTTCATAAAACCCATTAAGAAATACATTTTGTATCACAGCCCAATACTCTCTTTTCAGACAGACATACATAAGCAAACACAAATTTCATTAAATAATACCTTTACTACATAAGAACTCTCATCTTTTCCACTCTAATTAGTTTTATTTAATTGGGAAAAATACTGATTGCCACTCACTACATTAATTACAAGAAACTTTCACGGGTTTTGACCCACAGTTTGAGAATTCCTAGCTTAGAAAATATAGAAATGTATGCTATATTCTACCACTACTCTTAAAAAAAAACAGCACAGTGTTTTTAACAAAACAAGGATCTCGGTGTCAGTTCTGAATTGCCTTGACTGATAGCATCATGCAGTTTATCTCAATGAATTGAAAATAACAAATTTATACACCTTTTTTTTTAGGCCCTGGATCCCTGCACACACAGGAATCTTGTATCTGAAGTTTATCCAGGAAAAATGTAACTCTTCCTACTCAAGTGACTGCTTTCATTTGTTCTTGCTTTAAGAATGTAGGAAAGAGATGTATTAGAATATTTAGCTATTATTACCTCCTTGTAGTTGAAGAGTTATAAAGTTTTGCAGTCATTTGCACATTTGTGCCATTGTCATCTATGAGGTCATATTTCAAGGGACCCTGTGCAGGAGTAAAGGAAACTTCCTGGCTGTCCCATGGCAAGAGCAACAACCCTAGCTTTATAAGCCTCCACTATTTCCAGAGGTACTTAATTAACTTTCATTTACTTTTATTTTTTTAAATTTTTTTATTCAAGTATAGTTGACCTATTAGTTTCAGGTATACAACAGTGATTTGACAATTCTATACATTATGAAATGCTCACCACAATAAGTGTAGTTACCATCTGTCACCATACAAAGTAATAATCTTATTAAAAATGAACAGAGGACCTAAAAGGCTATTTTTCCAAAGACGACAACAAGATAACTTTCATTTAAGATCAAAGTTCGTGTGCTGTGATTTCAAGACCAGGAGTTGGTCTGGGAGTTAGAAAAAGTCACAGGAGACTATGAGATTTTTGCCCCTGGCCTCAATATTCTCATCTGTAAAATGAGGAGACTGGACCATTTCTAAGAATCTGCCTATCGCTAACATCTTCTACTCCTAGGAATCTATGAATATGAACTTGATTGCCTGTCATGTTTATTAAATTAGCTAGTCAGTGTCTCTTTTTCTTTTTCTTTTTTTTATTTTTATTTTTTTAAATTTTATTTATTTATTTGAGAGAGAGAATGAGAGATAGAGAGCACGAGAGGGAAGCGGGTCAGAGGGAGAAGCAGACTCCCTGCTGAGCAGGGAGCCCGATGTGGGACTCGATCCCGGGACTCCAGGATCATGACCTGAGCTGAAGGCAGTTGCTTAACCAACTGAGCCACCCAGGCACCCTCTTTTTCTTTTTAAATGCAATGTCCTGACAATGCATTCTATATTCAGCAAGCAGAACATGAGTGTTCCAATATGTAATATATTAAATTGACAACCTATTATTCTCTTGGAGTAACATCTCTGTGCCCCCAGTACATAATTAGCTTTAATCTATGATAATTGCCTGCTGTTAATAAAATCATGTCTACTGAATTCTCTTTTTGGTGTCCATGGCCTATAATTATACTTAATGTGCAACTAATGATACCTGGTTGTAAGCTTCAAACCCAGTAGGTGCTCGATAATTATTCACTGCCTAGCAGATCAAGAACTACTACCAGTCTTCCACCAGTTTTCTCTGTGATCCTGGTCAGATCACTCAATCTTTGTGAGTCTGTTTCCTCTTCTGGAAATGGAATGGGTTTGACTGGAACAGTGGTTTTTTCAAAATTATTCAAACTAACTGGTCTGGGAGTTCTCTCACTTTCCTTCCTTCATCTCTAAAATTTTGCACTTTTATATGTACCAACTAAACTCAAGGGAAATCATGAGAACATTCTTAAGAGATGTGTGTGTGTGTGTGTGTGTGTGTAATCCCTTATATATAACATATATAATTCCCATATAAATGGGAGTAGTGTGTAACAGTATAAAAATCCTCGTATAACCAGAGGCAAAGGTGAGTTTTATCATCTTACAGATACTACCTAAAGAAATAACAAATTTTAGGTCCCTAACTTTGCTGGGAGCATCAAAAGATCTAAGAAACAATATACCTCATAAAATTTCCACTGACTACCAGAGAACACTCTTTAAAAATGAAGTACATGGTATTGCTGATGATGAATCTAATAAAGCATTCTAGGTCTTTTTAAAAATTAACTATTATTAATATATTTTCATCAGTTCCAGAGAAAAGGTATTAACATCAATACTACAAAGAAAAAACAAATATAGCACATAGACCAGCTATGTTCCTACCCCAATCACTCCCTTCAATTGCTTTACTTGAGGCCAAAAGAAGTGAAGTCACTACCAAATTATTTTCTCCAGCTATTGCTTTTTCTTGCTAGTAACAAATAGACATTTATTTCCAGGAACATATAAAAATTGTGACGGCTTTTCAAGACCTATATTCAGTTTGCCCACAGAATGACTGTAAACCATTTATGTCTGTATTGTACTTAAAGAGGAAAAAAACGAAACAGAACCCAAATAACATCTTTCTCTTACCCAGCCATGTTTTTGACAGCTTTGGGGCCCACATTAATAAGTTCATCAAGACCTTCTTTCCTGCTAAAACGAAATAAAATAAAAGTTCAAATTCAGCTGGAAATCTGCAAATTTTATGACTGACATTTTTTTCTTTTGACACATGCGGATCATACAACGGGATCCTAGATAAAAAGTAATGTGGTACCAAGTTTCTACTTTACAAAGTTTTTAAAAATCCTCAAAACAACCTACTGAGGTAGATATTACCATCGTCCCCTTACAAATAAGAAATAGAGCTTCATGGAAGTTAAGCCTCTCTTTGGGGGCAGGTAGGAAGAAATAACAGAGGATGAACCAGGTTTGGAACCATAGCAACTGGACCCCAACCCTCACACTCGTTCCCACTATCATCCTCCCTCTGTGTTCACAGTAATTCCTTGTATCTGCACCATGCTTTCCACCATCATCACAGTAATCCTGAGAGAGGTACCTTGGAGTCACTCTCTCATGCTTTTCTTGACCTTTGACCCCCAGATATAATGAGTCTTAACTACTCAAGAAGACAGAAATATATTCAATGTCATGCGAAAATATTATGGTCAAGTGTAAGAATGCTATGTCACCAATTTTCTCGAGTCATTTAAAAACTAATCCTTGGGTTTATGAAGGAGTAGAAAGTCAATATTCTTTGTTTTATTCAGTTTTATGAACTAATGATTTATTAACTATAAATTTACAGCAATGACCTAGTTATGCTATGATTGTATCAAAATGGATTTCTCAAGTAGTAATTATACAGAATTCGCTTCAATATTGTAATGAAATAAATTGAAACAATGAAAAAAGAAAAGTCTATCCAGCATCACTACACATCAACAAATCAATTTGTTCTCATTTTTTTCATGTCCCCTTTCAGAATGCCCTTAGCCAAATGATTACTCTTATTTTTTGGCAGAAATTGGAGACTTGCTCAGGAGTCTTCAATAATCTTGATAAATCTACCTTGTGTTTGCTGAGGGAATGTGTTTGGATCCTAAAAAAATGATGCAAGTTGCAACAGCTGGTAAAATAAATTAAAATCAATAATAATCTGTACATTTTTTTCAACTTTAATATTACATTAAGAAATTATTGCTGACTTATAACTTCATCAGGGATGCCTAGGTGGCTCAATCAGTTAAGCATCTGCCTTTAGCTTAGGTCATGATCCCAGGGTGCTGGGATCGAGCCCTGCATCGGGTTCCCTGCTCAGCGGAGAGCCTGCTTCTCCCTCTGCTTGCTGCTCCCCCTGCTTGTGCTTCCTCACTCTCTCTCTCTCTCTCTGACAAATAAATAAATAAAATCTTTAAAAAAAAATCTTCATCATGACTTGAATTCTTTTTAGCCCTATGTAAAAGCAGGTGGCTATGAATTCATATCTTATACAATTATGTATATATGAGAATTTAATTTAGTTTTATTCTTGTTTCTCTCAAGACAACCTCAAGTTTAAATTGCTCTTAAGCTTCTTATTCTCCATATCACATTTTGTAGTAGAATTAGCATTTAGGATATTTTAGGAGGTTGTAACAAACAAGAGAAAAATATAAAATTGTTTATCATTTCCAGGTATTCCTTGCTTCTCTCCCCTCCAAAAAATAACAAAAACAAAAGCAAGCAAACAAACAACAAAACCTGGGACTTTCAAAAAACAGAGTATTTCCTGATTCCAAGGTATACAGGTAATATACATAACGTGAATGTGTAATATTGAGGCTACTCTAAGGTATTAATTAAATCACTTCAGAATTGCACTTCATGCAAGGCTAAATCAGAACAAGGAAGACTTTTGGTTTACATAAATTGCTTTTATTCTAAACACCCAAATAGGCAATCATAGCTCTAAAGAGACATTTCTATTACCGCGCAATGGGCTCTCATACCAGCACTAACCCCAAAGGCCTAAACAAGTTGCCTAATTTGATATACATTATTATTGGGCACTATGTTATATATCCTGAAGGGAAAAAAGGCCAGAAAGGTTTGTATCACTTAAGGAATCTTTAGAATTAACTTGTAAACTAATTTTATCATGTACGTATCCTTTCATGTAAATTATTGCATCCTATTATGTTGAACTATTATGCTGAAATGAATTATGTTGAAATCCCAAGCATGGAACACAAACCCCATACTGATAAGAGATATTTTAAGAAATTCTTTATCCTCCATTAAAGCCCACAGCCCGAGAGTCCTGAGCAAGGACTTGAACACTAGGTTTATGACACGAAGCTGTTGGTTTTGGGTCCCATCACTGGTTGTCTTGATGGTAGAACAATGAATTACATTTTTTTTAAAGTTAAATAGAAAAAAACAGAAGAGTTCCATGAACCTCACCTTTGGTTAGTTCTGTTTGTTTCAGGAGACACTTTGATGAGGCTGTCAAGAATTTGGCCACTTTAAAACATGGAAGAAATGATTAGATCAGTGGTTGATTTACATCATGTGGTTGCAAATATTAAAACCAAGAAACATTTTTTGTTATAAAAATATTTTGTTATAAAATATTTATGAATACAGAGACCATCTCAAACGATTGGAATTTTCCAGTGTTGTGAATATATATTTTTGGACCTACATACTGCTGCATAGAAATAATAAACAATTACCACCGGTTTTAGAAAATTCACGACGTGCCAGGCACTGTTCAAGTGATTTACATGATTTATATAAGTGAATCCTCACATCAATTATTCAATATAGGAAGTATTACCATCCCATTTTCTCAAAGGGAAAAACTGAAACAGAAAGATTATGTGAAAGCAAAGTACTCTAACTCAAGAGCGCTTGACTCTTTCCATGATACCAACCATCGTATTGGCACTTAGTAATTGCATTAGCACTGAAGTGACTAGACAGCACCTGGTCCAATTTCCTTACTGTGAGGACAAGGAAACAAGCCCAAAAAGGGGAAGTGGCCAGTCGCATTCTGCAGTTAGTGAGGGCAGAGCTAAGGCCTAGGCCCACATCTGTGGTCTCCCATCTAGTTCTCTTTCCCCACTCCTATGCCATCCTCTGCTTAAGAAGAATAAACAAATCAATGAACATATGTGTCTTGTCCATTCTTGGAAATCAACTGCGTGTCTAATTAATCAAAGGTTATCTCCATTACATTAAGAATTAGTTGACCAAAATCTTCAACATTTTAGATATGAGGTCACGGAGGTCACATGACTTTTCCTGAACTATTATTGAGTTGTCAATCTGCTAAAATGTTAATTTAATTATATTTTTAAGCATTGGTATGTATGAAACAAAAAAACCAGAAGCTTATTAAATCTTACCCTTGCATGCTTTTTCCTGTTCTTGGAACCACTTTGATGAGGTTATCAAGATCTTTGGAACTTAAAAACAAAAAACAAAAATGATAAGTAAAAATGGAATTAAATCAACTAAGTATTTATTTAAAAGATATATGTGCTCAAGATGAATTTTACTATTAAGTTTTGAGAAAAATCATACCAGTCTTTGTCCTTAATTTTTAAAGTACAAATTTTGACCTCCATACAAATCATCAATATATGGCTCAGATTCCTATTTAACCTCAAAATAAAACCATAACTTTAGGGCAATATTGAGTTTTTCAAAAAATCAAATAGCAACTATGTAATGATTTGCCAGAAACTTTCACCTGCCCCCCAACAAGTATTCCATCTAACACTGTAGCTATTACTAAACTGTATTTTGTTAATAATTTCCATTTATAGTGCCTTCTTGCTTTAAAGGGATTTTATATCCATTATTTCACTTGATCCTTACAACAACCAAGTGGTAAAGGCAGACCAGACAGTTATAAATGATCCTCATTTTATAACTAAAGAAGCCTCAGCTCAGAGTATTCTAGGGACTTGCTCAAAGGCAAGTAATGGGAAGTAATGGATTTCAGACTTTCTGATTCCAACCCAAAGATTTTTTCCACACAGCTTTTCCGATGAGGGTCACAAATTGATGCAGGCGGGGAAGGAAGAAAGATAAGACATAATCTTCACCTTGCGTTACTTCTGTTTACTTCAGGAGTCACTTTAATGAGATTGTCAAGGCTCTGGCCCCTTTAAAACATTGAAGAAAAATGATGAGGTTAATGATAGATTAATACCAAATGAATAAAGTTATTTATTAAAACTCAGAAACAGGATAAACACTTACTGAGATTATGCCAAAGAATGGAAGATTGTTAAAAGTGATGATGCAGAAGTATGTAGGGATTTATACATCTCTGAGACTCAATGAGACAGTATTTTAATCTTAGAGCCTTTAGGTCAGTTGCAAACACTGTACTGGGACTCTGTCTCGATTATGATTCATTTAATGCTATGCTCTAAACATTTGCTAGGTGCACTGAACATTTTGTAATAGTCTATATACGCATATCATGGAACATTCCAGAAAGCATATCCTCTCTTAATATCAACCTCCAACATGCTGTGGGAATTTAAAATCAACTTTGGAGAATCCATATTTTGTAAAATTGACATTTATTAGCAGGTTTTCTATTCACAACACTGGATTAAGAATAAGATACCAATTTGTTGAGGTCCATGTTATACAACCTGGTATCTGTGTCTGGTACTTATGTGTTCAAACTACAAATTTGGACTAGTTGTGTTGGCAACAAACAATAGGAAGATTAAAATCTATAGAGTTCTGAAATGTAAGCTATATTTACTATAATAAAAAACTCCATGTAGTCACTAAAAACATGTCAGTATTTTCTTGTTACCCTTGAATATATTCTGTTTCTGATCTTAATGGAATTTTGGTTTTCATATTGTTTCTATGTGTTTTCCACATACACAGCAAAGCCAATGCCCCTCTGATCTACAGAGGATGCCACATGGGTAAAGGACATCTACAGAAGGTACATTCTGTTTCTCCATGCCCTGTGGTCCTAAGATTGTATCACAAAGTCTCTGAGGTTGCATCTATACAACATCAAAGATACAGATATTTGGAAGCAACCAGATGTTGACCCAAGTTTTTACTTGTATCCAGATGTCTGAGAATGTGTATGCCCAGGCTAAAAGCAGCAATTAAAAAATGCAGACCTTTTCCATGCAAAATGAAACAATTAACCCAACAGAGGCAAGTATTCTATCCCAGAATACCCCTTGTTGATTTTTTTTTACCTCTTGTTAATTTTTGCCTAAATGAAGTATTTATTCATTTAAATACTTCATTTAAAAAGTATTTTTTTTACTTTGATAAGTAAAAAAAGGCACCCTGTTAAAAGTGATGGTTTTCTTAGACTAAGAAAGAGTCTAAGAAAAAAGAGTCTAAGAAAAAAATTCCCAGAATTCTATTTCCAGATTTGAATGCTTAAAAAAAAAATAACACAACAGTAAGCATTGTAACCCCTCCCTTGTAATACTTTTGTTGATTCTGGAGTTCACTTTGATTATATTGCCAAGAACTTGATCTCTTTAAACATATTAAAGAATATATAAGTGGAAGGTTATTTAAATCTCAAAGTAAATAAAATCAATAAAGTGGAGTATGCTAATTAATGCAGTCATTTAAAATAGTATTTTGAGCTAAACTGTCAATTAATGCCTCATAGTATATATATCCTCAGTATTCATTCATTCTTTCAATCCACAAGTAGTTATGGAAACCTGTGAATAATATAGACATAGGCTTTGCCCTCATGAGGCTTCTATCCTAACTTGGAAAGAGGCAGGCAACATACCATCAAACATATAAATGAATGTCACAATTCCAGATAACAATACATGCTCTGAAGAAAAGAAGGAGTGCCTGGTGCCTGTGGTGCTGGGGTTGGAGGAGGGGGTGGTGACAATTACAGTCAATGGTCAGAAATGACAAGATGGGGGTAAATCCAGTCCCAAAGTGGGAATAGCATATGCAGAACTCGTAAGGTAAGAATGAGCCAGGAATAGAAAAAAAGATTAATTTGGCTGGACTGTATTGAACAAGTAAGAGACCATTCCTGAGGGTTAGAATTGTAATCTACCTGAAACGGAAAAACACTGTAATTTTTTAATAAGAGAGGAAGGATGATTTGGTTTTGCTTTTAAAAGATCGACAAAACTTAATTACATGTAGTGAAAGAAAAAGACAACTACTGTCCCTAAAAGTTCTCATGAAGTGTGCGCGTGCACCCCCACACACATATACACACACACATACACACAGTGCATATTCCCAAATACATGGACGCAGATGCACACACATAGACATCCATGTACATATGAACTCATATACATACAAAAACATACAGATATACATATATTTATGCACATGTAAGCATGTGTGCACTTTTATGCCATCACACACAGGACATTTGCAAAGACATGCACACCCATATGCATGTACACTGACATACACAGAAAGGCACACCTATACATATACACACTCATGCAAACACAGGCACACACACATAAAACATTTATTTGTGTGTATACACATATGCACACATAGACGTGCACACAGAAACACACCAACATATGAAAAACAATAGGTGATGATTTAAACTACTCTTTTAAATAAAAATTAGAAAGGAAAACATGGGTTTTTCTTGGAGAATCAAAGTAAATTAAATATTTGAACAGTATGTAAATCATTAACAGAATATAATTCACCTAAATCTTTATTATTGTTAACAATTACTTATACCTACTCTGTGCCAGGCATGAGTGTTATGATCCCTATTTTGTGGATGAGTAAGTTGAAGCATGAGGACACAGCTAGCAAGTGACCAAGCCAAAATTTGAACACAGAATTTGAACTTCCTGTTCCAGTTACCTTCCAGGACCACCCAAGTAGCCAAGGAAATCGATGCTTTCTTCTCAGTCTATTGGGAGTCTCTAACTCAACTCCCTGGGTCGCTGGGCCTCTGACCATGTCATGCTGCTGAGAACAGGACAGCCTGACTGTGTACACACCAGCTTTTCAGCTAGCTGAGCCCTTGCTCTGCTGACTGGGCCTGTAGGCATCAGTGACACATTTTAGAATCAACTAATAATATCATGTACTGAGTTAACTGAATGGAAAGAAATTCAAAGGAAACCACATGGAATTATTTGGTGCGCTGTTTGCAGCAACATACCAACAAGCTCAGTTTCAAATATATTCTGTCTGCTTTTTAAAAAATAAAAAGCAGGAGGACATAAGCTTTCCAGATTTACTTGACAGTTCATGGGTAGTGGAACTCTTTTAATGAAGTACACTTTGTTAAGCTCTTCATCTTTAAACATACACTACACTATGTAGACATACATATGTTACACACAAATACACTAGACATGCACACATCATTCACACATGAACACATCCACTATATACACACACACTACTTATACATCCACATACATACACTTATATATATTTATATTGTGTATAATACACACATACACTATATATATATACACACACATTTTGATGGTTAATTTCATATGTTAACTTGATTGGGCCACAGGGTGCCTACATTTGGTCAAACTTTGTTCTGGGTTTGTCTGGGAGGGTGTTTCGGGGTGAGATTAACATTTAAATCTATAGACTGGGTAAAGTAGATGGTCCTCCCAAACATAGTGGGCCACAACCAATCAGTTGAGGATTAGAATAGAGCAAAAAGGCTAAGTTTGAAGGGAGTTTGCCTGCCTGACTGCTTGACCTAAGACATCTTCTTCTGGTGTTGGAATTTAAACCATCAGCTCTCCTGATCCTTAGGCATTTGGATTTAGACAGGAACTGCATCACTGGCTCTCCTAGGTGTCCAGCTTGCAAACTACAAATCTTGGGACTTCTCAGCTTCTGTAAGAGCATGAGCCAATTCCTTACAATAAATTTCTCTCTCTCTCTCTTTCTATATATATATATATATATATATATACATATCCTATTGTTTCAGTTTCTCTGGAAAACCCTGATCAGTACACTTACATACTCTTATACCCAAACCCTTATAGATACACACTATTTATATATACACAAATACAATAATAAAAACACACACTGCTTACATACACACACACACACACACACACACACACAAAGAAAGAAATCATTTAACTCAGTAGAGAAAATCAATTTCCCATTTAATTTCTCAAAATCTACCTGATAGTAAACTTCACCCAAAAATAAAATGTAAAAGATCACTTCTGGGTATCACTTGTATAAAACTGCTTAATATGATATGTTTGGGGAAAAGACAACTGGGTTTGAATTTCAATTTACTCTCCTGAATACAAACACTCAGGATTCCAATATGCTTATGAATGCCAAAGGGAAGGGGGGAAGCTTTAAATGTCTTACCTCTTGATACTTTTATTTGTTTCAGGATTCACTTTAATAAATCCATTGAGGTCTTGTTTGCTTTGAATAAAAAAGTGAGTTTTAATGAATGTTATTAAGTAAAACACTAATCAAGTGAACAATGATTGGAGAAGTAATGTGAGTCAGATAAAGTTCTGTACTGGATCCAGACAATATAAATTTCTACTCAACAAATCAGATATAATTGCCTATTCTGTTTTTAAATCATAAGAACAATGTCAATAATAATAATAATCATATTTTTAAAAGAAGAATATGTCTTCATATAAAGTCAACCATTTCCCTAACCCAAGCTCTTTAAAAGTATAATTAGATTATGATAAATTACAAAGAGCAAGGAAAAAATACCTTACATGGTAGGAAAATTGATTCATTTCTTGGGGGGGCCATGTCACCCTCATTAAAATGCACTGAGTAGTATTAAAGGGGATAACCTGAACCCAAAAAAGAGAATACTGTGAGGTTGGCAGAAGTATCATGACTTCATGTCCCCGCCACGTTGACAGAGCCCTGAAGAGGAGAAAAAGTGGCGGAATTTCCTTACTCCCAGTGGAAACACCTGCCCAGCCCTCCCTTGGGCTGCTTTCTGAGGCCAGCATCCTTAGAGAAGCTGATTCACAAGAGTTTTAGTCAAGCTTCACTTTTGGCTATCTTTGTTATTTTATTTTTTTAAAAACATTTTGTATTTATTTATTTGACAGAGAGAGATAGCAAAAGCAGGAACACAAGCAGGGGGAGTGGGAGAGGGAGAAGCAAGCCTCCCACAGGGCAGGGAGCCCAATGTGGGGCTCAATCCCAGGACCCTGAGGATCATTAAAGCAGACGCTTAACCACTAAGCCACCCAGGCACCCCACTAACTTTGTTATTTTAGAGATCCACCTTGAAAATGTTGTCAAGACCATGCATTCTTTAGATACAAAGAAACTCATCTGGGATAAAAGGCAACTTACTATCAAATGCTAGGGCAGTTCTTCAAAAAATAAGTGATTTTATTAGGAATAAGAAGGGAAGGTCATGTGGCCCACTGTTATTATCTATCTCCGTGCTAATAAAATATGGTTATGAAGTTAAAATGCCAAATCATTTTATCTTATTGTTACTTACAGAAATCAGACTTAAAGACACTAATAATTCTTACCCAGTGGTGTTTTCACTTCCTTTGGGCTTTGCTTTGATAAGATTATCAAGGTCTTCACCTCTTTAAAAAAAAGTTTAGATCTGTTTCAAAGTATTCCCACAGTATTATATATAAATAGACATTCCATATTATTGATGATTAATTAAAAGCTTTTGGAGAAAATTATTGTACAGGAATTATATTAATTTTATTATATTTAACTATTATTTACATTATATATAACTTATTATATATATTATATATTATATATATAATTTATTATAATTAACTATGAATAACATAGTTAATCTCTGGGATTTTATATTAGCCAAATGTAAATTTATAGAATCTGTTGTAGAGCCTCCAAAGTGAAAATCAGGGTGGTAGGGATCAGACACAGAAGACAGAAGGCAAACTCAAAGATGTGACCCCCTCAATGTCACTGAGAATATCACACAGTGAAATTTGGTAGAAAACAACCAAGATTCAGAAACATCAAAACAGTTCTCACCCTCTCCTAGTTTTATCTGTCCTGGCATTTACTTTGATAACCGTTTCGAGATCTTGGCTTCTTTGGAAAAAAAAACATGAAAACCTTGTGTTACTTAGGTTACATTCAGTTTTCTCTGAAATTTGTATAAACAAGAATGTCCCTGAAAGGATATCAGATGTTTCCAGGCCAAATGGCCAGAAAAACTTGGATGTAATTATCCTCAACTGAGCTCTGTTAATTTCCCCAGCAGTACTTGGTTTAAATCCGTTTAGAAAACTTCCCAACATACCTCTCATTTTGCAATTTTGTCATTTATATTTCTTAGTTTAAATATAAGACTTGGCTCATGTTTTAATTGTTTAAGAAAATACAGAATAAGAGCTTATGTAGCAGATTTCCTGCACTTACTTCAATGTAACTCAAACATGTGGTCCTATGGAAACAGCATTCATCATATTCCTTTGCTTACTCTCTGATAGGCCTATAAAGTGCAACAGTTCATCTGTGACCAAGGAAAGCATAACACTCCCATTTCTAATGAGGTGTGAAAAACTAACTTGAAAAAAGAGCCACAGCAAGGTAGGACTTTTACTTACCCTTTCTCATTTTTGTCAGTCCTTTGATTAACTTTAATAAGACTTCCAAGGCCTTGGTTTCTTCATAACATTGGAGCAGGGAGGACAGCAGAGCAACAGAAAGAGAGGAGAGAGAGTAATTCAACCTCTTATGGCAACAGCAGATTTCTCAGTATAAGAGAAAGATGTTACCAGTACCTAAAGCCTCAGAAGTCTTTAAAAATGTTTAATACAAGTGACTCTTCTTATGCAAAATGCTGAAGAGATATGCCAACTATTCTAATATTAAGATCCCAGTCATTACTCCATTGTGATTAAATCACTTTAATGGAATAATTTTTAATAAAATAATAAACATTCCTGCTATTTAGAACTGAGTTGTTGTGTTGACAGTTTATACAATGTTATAATCTTCAGGTTACTTTTATAACTATGCATCATAGCACCAGAGCCCAGTATCAGTATAAGGAGATCTGGATTCAAATCTTAGTTCTGATTTTAATGGGGTTTGTGACCATGTTCTTTCACTTCTCTGCACCAAGTTTCCTCACTTTAAGAGAATTAGACTATGCTATCTTAAGGTCCTTTTTTACTTTAATATTTTATCCTTCATATTCTCAAAAGACATAATGGTCAAAGAGCCTGACCCATGGATTGAGGCCAAGTTAGTGCAAACCCTTTATTTTTTTACTTTTTATTTTTTTTGGTAAAGATTTTATTTATTTATTTGACAGAGAAAGAGAGAGGCAGGCAGAGGGAGAGTGAGAAGCAGGCTCCCCGCTGAGCAGGGAGCACGACGTGGGGCTTGATCCCAGGACCCTGGGATCATGACCTGAGCTGAAGGCAGATGCTTAACCGACTGAGCCACTCAGGCATCCCTTATTTTTTTATTTTTAAAGTAAATATAACGGTTTTATTTTAAGATTTATTTATTTATTTTAGAGAGAGAGCACTCAAGTGAGAAAGTGTGCAAGTGGGGAGGAGGGGCAGAGGGAAAGGGAGAGAATCTCATGCAGACTCCTTGCTGAGCATGGAGCCCAATGTGGGGCTCCATCCCATGACCCTGAGATCATGACATGAGCCAAAACCAAGAGTCCCACACTCAACCAACTGAGCCACCCAGGCGCCCCAGTAAATTTAATGTTTTTAATTGAAATAGAGTTGAGGGGTGCCTGGGTGGCTGTCAGTTAAGCGTCTGCCTTTAGCTCAGGTCATGATCCCAGGGTTCTGGGATCGAGCCCCACATCAGGCTACCCGCTGAACAGGGAGCTTGTTTCTCCCTCTCCCTCTGCCTGCTGGTCCCCTTGCTTGTGTGCTCTCTTTCTCTGTCAAATAGATAAATAAAATCTTTGAAATAGAGTTGACACACATGTTCACATTAGTTGGTGTACAACATAGTGATTCAACAACTCTATACATGATACGATGTTCACTACAAGTGTAGCTACCATCTGTCACCATATAATGCTATTTTAATTTTAATACCACTGACTACATTCGCTACACTGTACCTTTTATCCTCGTGACTTACTCATTCCATAACTAGAAGCCTGTATCTCCACTTTCCTTCACCCATTTTGTCCATCCCTACACCACACTCCCCTCTGGCAACCATCAGTTTGTTCTCTGTATTTATGTGCCTATTTCTGCTTTTTCTTTGCTTTTTTTTTAGGTTTCATATATAAGTGAAATCATATGGTATTTGTCTTTCTCTGTCTGACTTATTTCACTTAGCATAACTCCCTCTAGGTCCATCTATGTTGTCACAAATGGCAAGATCTCATTTTTTATGGCTAAGTAATATTCCTGTGTGTGTGTGTGTGTGTGTGTGTATAAATACACACCACATTTTCTTTATCATTAAACCATTTTAAAAATAAAAGTTCCCTTCAGGTCTCAGTTTGTGCTTTCTTTGTCCTTTCAGGGATGGTTGGTGGGAAGCTAACTTTAATATATTTGTTGATATACTGCCTTCTTTAAACATGAAAATCATTCATATAGGGGGTAGAAATCAGATGGTCAACATTTTAAATCTAAACCCTTAGGAAATTTTTTTTTAAATATTTTATTTATTTACTTGAGAGAGAGTGAGAGTGAGAGAGAGAGAGCACAGAGGGAGAGGGAGAAGCAGACTCCCCGCTGAGCAGGGAGCCCGACGCGGGGCTCGATCCCAGGACCCTGAGATCATGACTTGGGCCGAAGGCAGATGCTCAACCAACTGAGCCACCCAGGTGCCTCAACCCTTTGGAGATTTAGACGTGTCATTTTTAGCAAAAAGTTCAAGGTTCTGAATTACCCTTGGAAAAGAAGAAATAACTCTACGATGGCTCCAGTTCTTTATATAAATTGACTACAAACAATAAACCTTTTCCATGCAGATAGTTTAAAGCTATTAGGGAACATCAAAGTTAATCCCTCTAAGTCCCCCAATTGTCCAGGTGTTGCCCTTTGTCATTTTCATCTGTCTCTGATTCTACTGTGATAAGACTATTAACATTTTAGTTTCTTTCAATATAAGAAAGAAGGCAGAGAGGGAGGGCTGGAAGAAGGACAAGGCACTATGGACTGACTCAACCACACCAGTGAGTTCAGTCATTCCTGCATCAGAAAGCCAGTTGCTATCAAATTATCCCACATTACAAATCACATGTCTTTTCTCCTCCTTACCAGCCCAGAAATGGTTTACATGAGAAGTTCATCCTAATTTTTCTATTTTCTACCACTTTGGTGGACCCTTCCCAATTTCATTTTTTAAATATCTGAAATCTCAACTTTTCCTATAAAGCTCATATAACCACTCACAGAGAACTGACAGTTTTCCCACTTCATCTGTTCTCCATGAGAAGAAAAGTTTTTACCTGTAATAATACTTGCACATTGACATTTATAATAATATATTGTTAATAAGGATTCAGTATGTGCGAAACTATTATTGCCAATTATTTTCACATTATTATCACATAGACTTTAAGTGTTCTACATCAGAGACAGTTGAGAATGCATCTGCCAAGACTGACTTGGAAAGCTAGAATACCATTCTGGGCACAGACTGGCACAGATGAATGGCTTTACAAGATAAGACAATAGAAATAATTATCACATTACAAAGGCAAATCTGATGACTAACCACGTACAAGGTAAACAGCCAATCTGGGGGAAAAACAGTAGTGATCTCCGAAATCCTTACCCTTTGTCATTCTTGACCATTCTGGGATTTTCTTTCTTTTTTTTAAGATTTTATTTATTTATTTATTTGTCAGAGAGAGAGAGAGAGCACAAGCAGGGGGAGTGGCAGGCAGAGGGAGAAGCAGGCTCCCTGCTGCACAAGGAGTCTGCCTCGGGGCTTGATCCCAGGATCCTGAGATCATGACCTGAGCCGAAGGCAGACGCTTAACCAACTGAGCTACCCAGGCATCCCTTTTCTGGGATTTTCTTTAATAAAACTGTCAAGAATTTGATTTCTTTCCATATAAAAAATAATATCAGTCATGTAAGTCAATTTTCTAGGATTTCAGTATCAGTCTAGAACTATAAATCAACATCTTTAATGATATCAGTTCAGTTACTAATCATCCACTAACCCTTTTTATGATATAAAATAAGTAAAGGCATTACTCTTGACCCTGAGATACTTACAAATATATGTGAGATATACATATGAAGTGACTCGACCAAGATTCTAACTGAAAAGTGCCTTAGAGCATTATAAAGACTTCAGTGGGGAGAAACTACGCTCCCAGCATCAAAATGTCTTAGAGTAAATATATTTAGTTCATAAACCAGGCTATTGTCCACTACTTGTAACAGCCAGCTAGAGTTCCTTCATATTTAAATACAAAAGGGAACCTGGAGATCATCTAGGTCATGCTCTTCATTTTATGGGATGAGGAAACAGCAGTCTGCAGAGGTTAAGTGACTTGCCCAAGGTCATCCAGGTTGATGTGGGTGGCAGAGCCAGCACCAAGATATCCACTTATTTCCTGACCTCCACCCCAACCCCCCGTCCAAGGCCTGTTCCACCAGCCTGCCTGCCCCTTGTCCTAAGCAGGAGGTCACACACTGGAAATGGCATATAGCCTAGGACTCAATCAAAGAGGCCAATAAGAGTCAAATCTTACCCTTTGCCGTCTTTGTCTGTCCGAGTATTCATAAAAATGAGATTTTCAAGGCTTTTGGCTCTGTAAACACAAAGAAATTCAAATAAAAGGCTACATATTGAAATAAAATTGTGTGGTATCTTGAGAGGTCAGATATAATAAACATTCTTCAGGAACTGCTCATTTACTCTTATTGAATGGAAGAGCAGAAATCCTTCCGGGCAATTATATCTGAGCTAAATGTACAATTCTGAGAGCACTTCTCCATCTGCTAGTACATTTCCATGCCAGAGGATACAACCCCCTTCCAGCGAACGTCTGAAAGAATAAAGCAAGCAATCTGGGAGATCAGATTTTCAGGTTAGGGACAGATGCACTTACCTTTTCTCTGTTTGCTTTGCCTTAGGATTTGCTCTGAAGAGACCATCAAGACCTTGCTTTCTTTAAATGCATTGAACAAAAAAACCTCATCAGTGGTAATAATACATACTTAACTCTATAGAAATATAGACCAGTTTATATTTCTATAGATAGACAGGAAATAGAAGCTGGGTGGAAAAGATGAGCAACAATTCTTGAAATTGCTTTATTCCAAATAGGTATTTTCATAAACTCAAAATTTAAATTGCAGTGGACCTCAGAGAAAATAAGATAGAAAATACAAACTGGGGATCCACACACAACCAATAAGTCCATGATGCATTGTATGGATTTCACAGAGTGTTTTGTTTTTAATGTGAGCCAATGTTGACCTTCTGTCTTTATAGATGAAGAAACTGAAAAGCAGCACATTTAAATGAGTTGTTGATAGTCAATCATATGATCATTGTTGTCAGAACGGGGTATGAACACCATATTTCTGGATGCTCAGAGCAATGAGCTCATTTGATATTTGCCTTGTTTCTCTGTCTCTCTGGTCCCTACCCATTTATTAGGTTAGCAGGCAAAGTAACAGAGAGATAGCAAAAACCACACACACTTCCAACACAGACCTCAATTACTATAATCTTTAAATTGTGCAATTATAAATGATTCAAAATTAAGGAGGTAAGGTTAACTAAGATAGTAAGTGGCTTTTGTAAAGTGTAAAACTGAAAGCATCCAGTGACCAGACAACTCTGTCCACATACTAATATGTTAATATTTCAGGAAGAGAACTGTGGTTATTTATATAACTGCCTTACTAAATAGAGTGTGAAAATCAAAGATACTTTAATATTAGTATCTTTAGGTTGTAATAACCATTTATAGCACTGATGAAATGATGATGATTCCTGCAAGCTTTTTATTCAAGACCTGTAGGCTATTTTTAACTCACCCAGTATGTGGGTCCTCATGCTCAAATACTAAAAAGACATAAGAAGTCACAATGTGCAACTCAATAATAAAGCAAAAAATGGATGTTTTCAAATCTTACCTATTCAAGCTTTTGTTCATTTTGATGAGATTATCTAATTCTTCACTTTTGGAAGAAAAAAACAAAAATCTCACATCATTAAAAGCCTGCCCCGAGTCAAAGGGCAGGTCCACCTTAAACCACTGTTTCTGAGTTCCCTGGAATACAACACATGCCACCAAAATCTTGCTTATCCTTCAAGGCTCTCTTCAAAAGCCTCTTTCTCCAACACATAGTTCCCAGTCCTTCAACGGAATAGAGTCCTCTACATTTTTGGAAACCTTGCTGCATTTTGTTTTTTTCCATCTCCTTTATGGCACTAATACTACTATATTCTGTAATATAGCAACTACATACTTGTCTCATGTTAATGTCCCTACTCCTACATCTCTCTCTTTCTCACACACACACACACACACACACACACTCCACTTAAAATTTAGAATTGTGTTTTACATTGGATCCTCTTCAGTCTTTAATACTGTAATCTTTAAACAGTAAATATTTAATATAGGTTTTTAATTGAATCAACAAATATAGGTACATTGACTAATTGTAGATTCTATCTTTATGCAACGTACCTGCACAAAGTAGCTATAGGAAAACACCTGTTCATCAGTAAGTCTGGCTGCTTTCTTAAATTGTGATCCTATTTCATCCTAACTACGTTAAATTTGCGATCTTGTGTCTGTATTTGAGAACTGCAACTTTCTGGCTTCTTCCCATGGAGCAACCTGTTTAGGCTAAACCCCTGGGTTCCAGAATATCCTTTAGTGTCACTGGAGTGTGGGTCTCTTCCCCAAGAAGGCAGCCTCAGTTGGTTTGTGGTTCCTGTTTGCTCCTCACTGCATTGTTTCTCTTCAACATTTCTGCCATCCCTTTGCCCCCATTTCTCTTGCCTTCCTAGTTCAGTTTTTAGATCACCAATCATGGTTTTCCCTTCTTCCTGCTCTAGAATCACACATTTTCCACACCATCTCAATGTTTCTCTTTCTTCTGCATCATCCCTGGAACTGACCAGGAGGCCAGGAGGCCCATGTCACTCAGTAGTTACATATTCAGTGTCTCAGGTCAGGGATACATGGATCCCAACCCAGGATTCACCACTTATTATCTGGTGACTCTGGGTGAGTTACTGAACCTCTTGCCACCTCAACTTTTCCATCCGTCCAACAAGAATACTAATTGTACCCACCTGAGAAAAGAATCAATAAGCTAGTGAGTATAAAGTGTGTAGCATTATGTCTGGCAAGTCATAAACTCTCAATTAATTTTGCCCATTATAGGAAACAGTTCCCAGTCTACTAAAACTTTCATTTAATAAATGCTTGCTATGCTTATTTTTAAAATGCTTTTAGAGACATCAAGACTTCGGCTCCAGCTAGACAGGTATAGTTGCTGAGTCATTTATGTGCTTTGAAGATGCCTGGCACAATGCACTGCCATAATAGCCTAGAGACCCTAAAAACATGTTAAATTAACAGCCATCATAGAGATGAATCCTTTCAAGTAATGTTACATATTCAGTGGTAGGATAAATACTGAAATATAAATGTTGCTGACCCTGACCAAAAATTGATTAACGTACTACCTAGTCCCTTGACACAATGCCCCATTGTTGTTTCTTGCTTGAAATTCCACTGTCCAGCTCTGAGAGTATGAATCTGTCTGTGTCTCCAAGGAAAAGAGCAAACCTAAGAATCCTGTAAAATTGTAGTCCCAGGTCTTTCTGACTAGTGTGAGTCACAGTGATGTGATGATCAGGATTTGGGGTTGCTCATGTTTATCACAAACAAATGGGCATAAATCATGAGAAGATACTCTGTGGTAAATTAAATAAAATGGAGACAATATTCTGACTAAAGAAGTTGGACTTTTAAAATGACCTTACATTGAGGAAAGCTTTGGATAATAAATTTCACCATTGCACGTGCAGTAAATTAAATGTTCTTAATCAGGTAAGAGTCCACTTCACACTGGAATATCACCAAGAGCAGCTTAGGTTAAAAAAACTATTTCTAGTCCCCACACAAGGCCCACAGTAATGGTAGTTGGGTATGTCGATCCAACAGACATTTCCCCCCGCCACAGCCAGAGCAGTAACTTTTCCCTGTGAAGAACACATCTCGTTGTGGAATTTGTGCATCATGCCTACAGAGAGGGGACAGGACTAACTGTAGTTCTCATTGTTTTTGTTGGATTTGTGCCAAACCATAATTTCCCATCAGCATCACTCACCCGTCTCTCCTTCAAACACCCCCATCACTCACCAAAAAACTGTTCAATCCCTCTTAAAAACAAAATATTAGGGGCGCCTGGGTGGCTCAGTTGTTAAGCGTCTGCCTTCGGCTCAGGTCATGATCCCAGGGTCCTGGGATCGAGCCCCACATTGGGCTCCCTGCTCCGAGGGAAGCCTGCTTCTCCCTCTCCCACTCCCCCTGCTTGTGTTCCCTCTCTCGCTATGTCTTTCTTTGTCAAATAAATAAATAAAATCTTAAAAACAAAACAAAACAAAATATTACCTCAAAAAAAGTAAATAGATAAAATTAGAGATCCAGGCACTTAGACAAGAGAAATGGAAATGAAACATTCAGGCTACTTTCTGGAGTCCCCGTCTAGATTCAGAGCTCCAATCAGTTTCGTTTGTACAGAAGAGCTACCTGTTGCTTCTGTTTCTTCTCTTCAGTTCTTTTGATTGAGACTGCAATCCCTAATCACACTTAGCATTGCTGAATTCCACTGAGCAAGGAGTATTTTTGTAGGAACTGGATTTAAACTATGGAATGTTTATACTCCAGGTTTCCCGCTGTTCATCATTCTTTACCATAATCTGTTATATAAGCACCTACTTTGCACAAAGCATCATGTCAGACTCTGCAAATGACTTATGGTCAATAGGACAAAATATTTGCTCTAAGAGATTAAAGAGATGATAGAGAAAATGAGGTATTTATATAGATACCATGAAATAGAAAATATGATTCGTTGTTATAACACATGAATAGTGAGGCTCTAAGAGCTTAGAGAAAAGAAGTCACATCTCACTGAATCATTCTGGGACGACTTCACAGAGGAGGTGATATCTGATCTAGATCTTGAAAAAATAGGTAGGACTTGAATGAACTGATACGGTGGCCTTGAAGCTAGGAAAGGCTGCCATATGGGTGGCATGGCATAAACAAAGGCAAAGTGTCTGGAAACTGTAGGAAGAAAGTGGTTTAATTTGGTATTGCATGTAGGGTAAATGTAAGGGTGAAGTCAGAAATAACTCTGGAATGTTAGGTTGGAGCCAAGTTAACAAAGGTTAAATGTAATTGAACGGGCAATGGGGAGCCAGTGAAGCAGTTGTTCAAGGAGAATTTTAGGAAGAAAGCTCTGGCAGTGATGGGTAGTAATGGTTTAGGGGAGGAGAGACTGAGGGAATGTAAGTAAATCTGGATAGCTACTCTAATAACCTACGATGGAGCCGATGAGAGTTTGAACTGGGGTGAGGCCATGTGGGCAAGAGGAGAATTTTAGACATTTTATGCATATATGCCCAATACTACATTGAGGGGAAAGACATGGAAGAATCAAGAATGATTCCAGAAAGGTGAGCTTGGCTGAAGGAAAGAACAGAAAGAAGTGAGGAAATAGCGCATTTGGGAAGGAAAGTAAATATGGCTGAGGACATCCTAAATGAGGGTTCTGGGAAGACAGGTAAGTTGAGATCTGAGCCAGCAACATAAATACAGGACAAGAACTTGGAACAAAGTCAAAACCACAGAAAGCTGAGGTGACGAAAATGAGTACAATCACCAAAAGACAAAGCAGAGGAAGAAGAGTATGGGTAAAGGTCAGTCTCACCCATTTTTCAGGAACACTTATCTAGAGAGATTGATTCTTTCTTCTTTTAAATTATATATAGTAAACAGCATTGGGATTTTGTTTATATCTGGAACTATTAAAAGTACTGGTTAAGCTTTTTTGAAACATAAAGAAAGGAAAAACGCAAGCTCAAAAGCTCTTACCCCTTGTTAGTTTTCTGAAGTGAAGTGGTCACTTTGACAATGTTCTCGAGATCCTGACTCCTTCAAAGGATGAAAAAGAAACACAAGTCAATGACAGCAGAGCTATCTTTGAAGTAGCTAGAAATTCTTATGTTTTCAGTAAAGAAAACAATAGTCCATGTGTTCAGGAATTATTGAGTTTAGCTGCATAATGAAATAGTTCTATCATATCAGCTCATGGGGTGTGTAGGTGGGGGTGCGTGTGCATGCGTGTGCACACACACACACACACCCGAGTCATTTCACTGGGTATTGGCTCTGCCATCTAGTGCTCACTAAAATAATACAGTTTCTCCTAAACACACTGCCTTCTCCCTAGTTCTATACTTAAAGGATATGGAAAAGAAAGCAGAGTTAACTACACAAGTAAACACAGACATGTGTTCAGAGGTTTTTTGACCAGAGCCAAAGAGCATTAAGCAACATGTCCAGATGATTAATCCATCCCTCACATGTGGTGAAAGTATCTGTCTTCTTAGGCTTCCAAAGGGAAAGAAAGTACATTTTAAACTACAGGGTAAGTGGAAGCACCTGACACAGAGGGTTGAATCCACACTAATCCCCCTAGATCATGGAAAGGAATAATTGGGAAAATCCTTATTGGTGTCCCTGTAATTAAGACCTGTGTTTCACAAACAATGTTTCATAGAAGGTTAATAGGGTTCCATGAAGAAAGAATTTTGCAGTCAAGTAAATTTGGGAAATAAAACCAACTTTTGGAGATTCTGAATGTATATGAGCACATTGAAGGTTCTGAGAAGTCCTGTGGTAGGGAACTCTATTTTATTGTGTCTCCTAAATGGGTTGGCCATCAAACTCTTCTTTCACAGAACATGCATTGAAATCTGTGGCACATGGGACGCAGCTTGGGAAATGCTGAGATACGGTGGCACTTGAAGTTACTAAGTACAAGGGAAAGATGATTCTCCCCAAAGTAAGATATCCATGTGATATATGTTTCAAACTCAGACTTTTCAGAGAGTCAAGGGAAAACCCAAAAAGTTTGTAAGTTTTGAACTTTAAAAAATCGGTTGGTCAAAATGGATAAGATGGTAAATTTAATGTTATGTTTTTACCATAATAATTAAAAACTAGTTTATCATATTGATAAACCTATAGAATATCATCATTTAAAACTAATTTCAAAGATAGGGGATTTTTTCTAAAAAATAACAAAACCAAGATATAACCAAAATACATACTAAACCAGATGGGATGAGCAAGACAACAGGCATAAATCAGGACCGTTATGGGGAAACCTTACCCAAAGATCAATAGTATTTGTGAGCCTTTTTCTGATGATGTGGGTGGAGCTGGATATGGCCTTATTATACAGCCAATTCTAGCAAAGCTTTTGCAGAACAAGTTCACTAAAATGACTATATTTACGCCTATTTATTTAAACATCAGCACAACTCTGTCACAGACCTTGGGACAAGTGCTGGGAATAAAGAGGTATTTTCCTTTCTTAAGGGGTTTATTTTATTCTGTTATCATGTTCAGACAATTTTGGTTGTTTCTTAATGTAAAGCTAAGACTAGAAATAAAAGGAATAAAATTCTGTAGGTACATATAAAAATATTAATTACCCACTATATTGAAGCCAGCTGGAGAACTGATTTTGTCTATTTTATTATTAATTGTCTTGTATTTTTAAGTATTCTAGTAAGGCAAACATTATTATTTCTACAATTACATAGATATAAATAGAGATCATTGTACCTTATATTTCTTTCAACAGATCTGTTGGTTTCTGTATATACACGTGGTTTAGGTGGACATATCTGCCTATATTTTCAAAGTTAAAGATAATGTCTGTTAGGTAAGAAAACAATTCTCTGTTAAATATAAATTTTTAAGGAAACATTCATGTTCAAAAGGATCACAATGTGTTGGATCAATGCACTACTTGAGATAACAAACTTTACTTTAGCTCTTTTGGTTGGCTAGAACTCGACCATTTCTTTTTATTTATTTTTTTAAAAGATTTTATTTATTTGACAGAGAGAGAGAGGTAGTGAGAGCAGGAACACAAGCAGGGGGAGTGGGAGAGAGAGAAACAGGCTTCCGGAGGAGCAGGGAGCCTGATGCGGGGCTCGATACCAGGACCCTGGGATCATGACCCCAGCCGAAGGCAGACGCTTAACAACTGAGCCACCCAGGTGCCCCTCAACCATTTCTTATTTGAAAATCTGGAGTCCAATGTAATAATTTTGCAATTTGGCCAATCTCTTTAAATATATTTTTAACTACTAAATATATCTAGAAATATCTGTCCCAAATGTGTTTATGTTCATTTTATTTTAGTCTCCAGTCATCAATAAAGCATTTTCATACTTATCTCTTAAGACTCTTTTTTTGTTATTAGGCATCAAATGGATGATTTTATTTTTCTTAAAGACTTATCTCATTTGAATACAATCCAGAAATATATTTACTCAGATAAGATGGGAAATATTTTAAATTTCCAACACACCCACCACATTGAGAATGACCACATTGAGTTGACAGAACAAGTTTATGATGTTAGATTCTGTCACAATTTATGGTATGAGGTTTTTCTCTGTTATTTTCCTAAGTATCTGACTGACCTACTTATATATTCTTGCTTGTTCTCAAAAAACTATATTCAACTATTTTTTGTCCTCCTGAGGACATGTGTTAATTACATAGGAAACACTTCCCTTTCATATTCTTTCATTAAAATCATCTTGCTGTGATTAAAGTAATCAGCGTTTAAAACATGCAAGTTGTTCTAATTTTATTTTTAAGATCACTGGTAGAAGAAAGAAATTAAAGTAGTAAAAATGGATTAAACCAATTCCCATGAAATTTAGCTTTTTTTTTTTTGACTCTACACAAGCTCATGGCTCTAGAGTCACTGATTTTAGACTAGAATTTAGATAATACTAAAGCCAGTTTTTTAAGCCCCCTAAAAATTCCTATTCAAATTAAGATTTAATTGCTCAATACTATAAAAGGAAAAATAATGTAAGATAGCTTAAATTATTTTAAGAGTATAATTATAACCATTGCACAAATAAAAAGTTATAACTTTGGTCTATATTTTTCATTAATTCAGGGAAGAAGTATATTCTTGGCTCATTAAAGGGAAAAAAAAAATCTTCTTATCCTAAGGACAAAATTTCAAAGATCTTGCAAAGTTTCATTGAATAGAAATTCAGACCTCGGTCTTTAACTTAATAGGTTGAGTACCTAATGCTTCATAGCCCTGTTGCCCAGTCAGCATTTTCTAGCTGAAGTTACCCTGTTCCTGAAGAATATTTCTAGAGTTTTCTTTCATGTTGTCAACAAAAATCACCATCAAAATGCAAAAATACAAAAGAATCAAAGGCAGGTTATCAAGTGGATCTAATGTATTCAGTCTTTAATGAGATATCATTTTTTAAATCTCATAATAATAATGGAAATGTGCAATGTACGTCTCAAGAAACAACTCGAGATTATTAAACAGTTTAACAGAAACACATGGAAAATTTTTCAGATCTTTGAATTTGTTTCTAAGTATTAATTATAGAGTATCAGAGATTCAAAATGAAAAAGCAAGTCTCTTTTTTTTCTTGATTCAGAGACAAATTAATTAGAACATTTTTTAATTGTAATAGTTTTGAAATAAATTGCAAATTCCTTAGCTAAAACAAGACCAAAGAGCTACCCAAAAGTATTTCTAACATGAAAGTTTGAGCAGTAACACAAAGTTTTAAGAATATTTTTCATCAGAAAGTGTAGCTTTTAATGGGAAACTTAACTAGGAGTAAATATACACTAAATGTGTGTGTGTATTTATACATATGTGTGTGTGTGTGTGTGTACACACACGTATATAGTTTCTATCTAGATTACATATGTCAAATACTATATATGTATACATATATATTTATATACACAGGGACAGAAAGAAAGAGATTCCTTATATAATGCTCATACATAAATTAGAAGAAACCAGAGGGTGAATACTTCCTGGACATGAATACTGTTCAGCTTCTATCTTGAAGGTGTATTTCCATAAGACAGGACATGGCCATAAGTATTCAAAGGCAAACATAAATAGGCATTTGTGTTGGTAATTAGAATTAGAAAAGCTTTAAAAGTGCTTCTTCTGTGAATGTGTGCACAAAACATACCCATGCTTTGCACAAAACAGGTCACAATTCATTTGCTTTCATTTCTTTAACTTCTTCATTTGAGCAAGAGATTCTGGAATGCCAGGTCTCACCTATTCTCCCGTCTCAGCCGGTTAGGAGATGAAACAGGAGAACTGGGCTTTGGAGGTATTGGAGGGTGAACAGTTGGTTCCCTTTAAAACAGAAAACATCAGTTCATTTCACCATGGAAACATGGCAAATTTTAGCATCTATTAACTGAATATACTTATGGCCTATATGGAAATAACTCATGCGTCTTACACCCCCCCACCGCACCCTACCCCCCTGGCAAGAGGTAGCTGAAAGGCCAGAATCTATACAGCACTAAACTTTAGAGGAGTCATATATTTAAATTACTGGTATTTTCAAAGTTCACTTAAGCAGGTTTTTGGAAACCCTATCCTCTTTCACTATAGTTTGAAATATAATGTGTTCTTTTAAAAGCTTAATATTTTGCTAGACTATCTAGCTCAAGCTGTGGCATTTTGGGTCAGCAGCGCGTGAGCATAGTAAATGGTTCTTGGGCATTAACATATAATCTTCTTTAAGAATTATGTCAACCATCAGGCTGCTATGGAAACAGCAAGAAAGGTTTTCAGTTTTATAGACCTCAAGATAAAGTTGATTTGAAGCTTTTAACTAAATCTGACTTAAATATTGGCAGCACAGGCCAGTCTGCTGCTTGCAAAGCATGTATATGCTGTCAGCCTAAACTTTCCAACCAAGAGCCAAGGCAGCCTCTGAGCCAGCATGATTTGATAACCTAGGAACGGCAGACAGGCATCATTTGGATGTCCATCATTTGGATGGAGTCAACACCTTACCCGGGGCATGTCAGCCCTCCACCCCCACCACTACCACCCCAGTGGCTCCCTATTAAACGCCATACCTAATAAAAGTACACTTGTGGTCTAGACTCCAGGTACCCCTCTGGCTTCTGCAGCACACTAGGTGAGTATGGAAGCTCTGGAGTCCAGCTGTCTGAACTGGGAGCTGTGTGATAATGGGTCAACCTGATACCATCTCTTTGTCTGTAATGACCTTTCTCATAGGATTGCTGGGGTGTTGTCAGGACTGAATTAGACCATGCTTTTCTTTTTTTTTTTAGATTTTTTTTTAATTTATTTATTTGACAGAGAGATAGAGAGCACAAGTAGGCAGAGCGGCAGGCAGAGGGAAAGGGAGAAGCAGGCTCTCTGCTGAGCAGGGAGCCCGATGCGGGGCTTGATCCAAGGACCCAAAGGCAGCCGCTTAACCGACTGAGGCACTCTACAAGGCACTCTACAAAGTGGATAATCTGGGCTCCATAAGCCACCCCCGCATGTTTTGCTAGGAATTCTTGGGCAGCACCAGTGGCTCAGTTGAGGTTTGTGGTCATGGAATTAAAATAAAGCTAGCTGCAATTGTTTTCTCTTGCCACATTCAGCTGCTTAGGGGGCAGAAACAGGCAAAACAGAGAGTTGGATTTAACTAAGTTTATAATTCAGACAAGTGAGTGCAACGAAGAGAATGGTGGCGAAGGAGGGGAAGGGGGATGTGAGGAAGTGATGATAAGGAGGGACCGTGGGGTCTGAGATGGATATGGAGGGAACGGAGGGTATGAGGGGAGAGGGAATGTGAAAAGTCAGTGGATTGGTGGTTGGCAGGGGCAAGGCTGAGAAACTTCCTGGAATCAGAGGACTGGAGAGAGTCGGCTAAACGCAGTAGATAGAAAGTGGAAGCAGAATGGGAAGATTTTGAAATTTTGAAAATTTATAGTTACTCACAAGGGCAAGATCCATGGGTGGCTGAGGTAGGGCAAAGGACGAGATCATTGGAGAGAAGATCAAGAAAGTGAGAAAGTCAGGGTGGGGAAGGATCCTCCACATGGATTTGGAAATCACCAAGCATTATGGCAGGAGACCCGTGTGAGACAGACAATGAGCCTGGTGCAAGAGTCTTCAAAGGGTGCAAGCGAGTGACTCCGAGACCTGCAGATGACTGCAGTGAGGAAGAGAAATTTCTGATGCCACGATTTCAAGGAAGATGGGGAAGTTTTAGGGAGGAGAAAGCTAATATTGGTAAGTGGTAGCAAAGAGGAGCAAACAGGACCTTCCCTCTTCCTCTGGATTCTGTGGAAGCAGAGTCCTCTGGGAGAGCCCACTAGAGGTGAGTGCCATTGAGTTGAAGAGGAGACTGCACAGCAGCTATTGCGATGATAATAGATGACATATCCAGGGAGTTACTGTGGAAGGTTTGAATGGTTAGGCTACTGTTAGGTTGGGTCAAGTTCTGATAGACAGAGCTCTGTGGGGCTAGTCCAGATGACAAGCAATGATCAGACTGGGCTTCTTATGGGAGATCTGTGGCCATAGGGATGGAGGACATGATGCAATTAGTTCTAAATCTTTCTCTGCAGAGTGTGGTAGTGATTGGGTGATGGGCAGGCAGCGGAGCAGGGAGCATGGCGAGTCTCCTGGCTCCTGTGTGGACGGTGGCACCGAAGCCAGGAGAAGGGCCTGCAGAGGCCCTTCAAGCTCTGCCTGGCTCACAGTAAGTGCTCCCTCTACGTCTAGTGCTGCAGCTGGTGTTCCTCCACATGAGCCCCAATACTGGAGCTGTGCCAAAACACTTGCACTCCTAACCACCCTCACCACCATACGCTCTCTGCTCTCTGGCCTACATGCTTCTCCCTTTCCCCTGGAATACTTCCTCCTTGGTTGCTTCCTCCCTGCCCCTCAGACCTGGCTTGTGTGTTACTGTCTGTGGTGGTATCCAAAGCTGTGCTCCATACATCCCTATGTCTCCCCATAGCACACCCTCTTTATGGACCGTATCACACTGTTCTGGATTACACATAATTTTCTGTCTCCATATTGGGCTGAAAGCTCCTAGAATGATAGGTATATCTCAAGTACTAGGACTGTGTATAATTTTTGGTGCCCAATAAAGATGTGTTGAAAGAGGAAGTGATTGGCTGGATTTCTACTTGGTGGGGAAGGAAATGAGTACTGAAGAGGGTCCTGAAACTTATAAAATCTGTTCAAATCTAGCTGTCCCACTGGAGAACTTTACTGTTAATTCCACTACTGAATACTGAGTAGGTGCCAGGAGCTCAGATAAGTTATGGTGTTACATGATATGCCTGGAAAACAATTTACATAAGAACAGTCTCCCCGTTCTGGTTTAGTGTTAGATTTTACAACTAAATATTATTTTATTGGAACTACCATCATCTTCTCTTCTCAAAAAATATCGCTGTGTTGGGGATAATGGGAAATCACAAGTGATAATGTGTCTTTTGTGTATCTGGGTGGATTAGCTGATTATACACTTTTCTTCCAGGGATAGAGGAAAGGGGTAAAAAGGTGGTCAGTCCTGGCTAGTAAGTCTGCACAGGGCACTGGATATCTGAGAATGGGCAGGAGAGAGGTAACAAGATGGAAAGGAGGATTACAAAAATGAGAAATAGGATGGTGCCAAACTTTGCTCATGCCAGAATCACATTGATGAAAAGCTACATTTCTTCCATGTTACAATCGCTAAGCCCTCAGAGAGGTGGGTAAATATTGACTGGGTGTATCTGGGAAAGAGGTACGGGTAGAGAAGTAGATCTGGGTACACGGTGTGGATATGGTTTGGGACGACCCAGAAAGTAAAGGGGGGCATGCAGTTGCGCAGGCCAAGAGAAGCAGAGGAGCATATTTATTTCCGAGGGTGCTGCATTTAGACCCCCGCTGGGCCAGGGCTAGGCAATGCCACATTGACTTCAATTCACCTCAAAGGAGCTTTCATTTGCATCTCTGCAATGACAGCCACAGATGACAGAACCCAAGCCCTTAGGGGCAATGAGAGAAGTCATTCATGCCATGCCAGGAGCTTGATGAAATGCCAAGCAGGGGGATTAAAATGCAAGAGCGAGGCAGGAAGCTGTGGTTCGGAATGTTTTGAAGAGAAGGAAACAAGGGACATGGGTGTGGAATGATCCTGTTTGAATACCACTTTGAGATGCAATGTTTAAGCCTGGCTAAGTTGACCCCTGGCTCTGCCCTCTGTCTTTCCCTCAAGCCCCCAAGACCTTTGCAGGATTGACGCCACCACATTAGTGGCTATGATTGTAAAGAATAACTTTCAGGAATAAAAAGGCAGCTTTCACAAGAAATGGGAAAACTTGCAGATAATAGCCCAAAGGCCAGAGCTAATAGAAATAACCCTGTGAAGTGGTTTATGTTACTTTATTCTCACGTGCTGCCACAAAGATCACTTCTTTCCATTATAGCTTTTTTGCACAACATGCCTGGCTCTGTGAATTCTGTTTGACTGCCTTTGTGAAGAGCATTTCATTACTGCAGCACACGCCCAGGTTGAAACAAGAATAATTGACTCTAACATTTAACTCTGAGTTTTGTTTTCACTTTCCATCACACTTAGCCCTTGTTTCCCACACACAGAATTTTTAACAACAACGACAAAGGAGATGGAACTTACATTTTTTTAGTTTCAGTACCATGCTAACTTTGCCAAGCTCTCACAAACATTATTTTAGTCCATCCATACATCTATCCCATGGAGATGTTTTTTTCAATGAGTCAAAAAGGTTGAGTAATTTTCCCTACATCATGGTGCTAGTAAGTAGCTCAGCCAGGGTTTCAACTTAGTTTTTCTGATGTTGAATCTCATGTGCTTTCTCCTATATGCTACTGCATCAAACCAATACTCTTCCCGGTATTCCCAGTGAAAATCTAATAATGATAGGTTATCCTGGATTGCTTCCTTGCCCAAGGACAGCATCATTAGCTCAACGGGCACTTATACCACAAATGCCCCAGGTATAATGTTAGGACACATAGCAATGCAGAGCAAAATTGGGTGTTCAAAAACTAGAAAAGATGTGGTCTCTGCTCTCAAAGAGCTTATTGAATGCAAGGCAAATGTTCAAAAGAATGATTACTGTAATGAAGTCTCACTTCATAGTGGCCATTTCAATAAACCATAACACAACAATAGAGCATGCACTGGACTCAAATTCCAGAGACCTAGGTTCTAGACTAGCTTTGCCACCAACTAGAAAGAGAGCTGACTCTCTGAACCTCTGCTTCTTTATAAAAGGAGAAGATTGGTCCAGGTCTGTGGCTGGCAAACCATTACATGACCGTGGGAAGGCAGCATTATT